TAAATCACAAATAAAAAAAAAATTTGATTGGACTTTTTTTAAAATAAAAGTATCATATAGTTATAAAAATTGCAATATGAGTGGAGTTGAAAATTGATTAAAGTAAAATCATAATCTTAAAGAAAATATTGCTGAATATAATTTAGACCTTTATATAAGGCTAAGGATTTTCTAAAATTTAGGAATGTTTTTTCGTAAATTTCTAATTATTGATAGATTTAAATTAAATTTGATCTAAAAATTTTAAGAATCTCAGTTTAGAGATTATTTGACAATTTTTGAAGATTTCTTATAATTGCAGTTTTTTAAAAATATAAATCCATTAATGGCTAAAGTAGATTATGAAAAAGGATGTTAGAATGTAATGAATTTATTAAACATCATAATAGTTAATAAAATAAATATCATCTTTTAAAGTTTCTTTTTTTACAACCTGGAATATGTCTTTCAGCAGCTTATTCACTAAATTTACGACCACAAGCAGGACATTCAACTAAATCATCTTAAGGTTGAATATCTACAGTTCCTCCTGATTTTGCTGCATTTATCATTTATCTAAATGCTTCTGATTATTTTTTCCATTTTGGATCTCCATTTTAAGCAACTTATTTTTTTTTTTCTATAATTTTATCTTTAACTTATCCCTATTTTTCTAGTTTAGCTTATTCTTAATATACTTACCTGTGTGCTTTTGAATTGAATTCTTTTCTTTTTGATTAAAATACCTTTTTACATACTTTAATATGTTTATCTAAGGCATTTTCTTTAAATCTTCTGCCACAACCTTCTGGGCATTCTTATAAATCAGCATCATCATCTTCTTCAAGAGGTGGAATTGAATTGGTTTAATTTTTCTTAGCTACAGCAGGTAATTCATCTATAGGATTCAATACTTTATTATTATTATATGATGGTTATTGTATCTGTTGTTATTTTCTAGGTTGAGGTTTATTATTTTATTCAAATGTCTATTAAGGTTGTTTATATTAATCATTTATTGGATCTTATTATTATCTTTCAAATGGTCTTTCTCTTTTATCAAATTAAGGTTAAGAATTATGTTGAGAATACTTATATTATTATGTAGATTATGACTATTATTATTTGAGTGGAGATAAAGATTGAGTATTTTAATTATAATTGTATTGATTATATTATTATTATTATTATTATTATTATTATATATTCTAATTTTAATTCCCATATTGATTATATTAATTATATTAATTTGATTAAGATGACTATTATTACTAATTATAATTGTAATTATTATAAAGATTATTTTAGTTGTTATTTTACCATTATTAATTATTACTATATATTCCAGCATTATTGGAATAATTATTATTGTAATTAATGAAATCATATTTATTTTGCTATAAAATAGGTTATTATGTGAAATCATAATTGTTATTTTACTAATAACCATATGATTATTATTTTTTAGATAATACATCATCATAATATTTAGGAGGTTATTATATTAATTATTATTGTTATTGTCGCTTATTTAGTTATTGCTCATAATAGCTATTTGGAGCATTATAATTGTTTAAGTTATTATTCTTTTTAGATGGATCATCTTTGTATTTTTAGAGTTAATCATAATAGTTGAGTCTATTAATAGCATTCATACCTAGATAGGGATCATTTCGAATAGAATTTTGAGGAGGTAAAATCGATTATTGTTTGTACTATTGTAATTATTAGTAATTGAGAGTGCGTGGATCAGTGATCTTAGGTTAAGAGTTGGATTGCATTTGATTTTACTATTATTGTTTGATTGTATAAAAGTCATAGTCACTTTTAGGATAGAGAGGTGATTATGATGGTTTTGTAGGTTGTGTATGTGGATAACCGTCTAGTTGTTGATTAGTTCCTTATTACCAAGTATCACGATTGATCATCTTTGCTTTAAGTAATTTCAATTAATTGGTAACTTAATCATTTGATACAGCCATCTGACCTGTACGAGATAGATTGGATCCCTAATACATTTTATTATAATTAAAATGAGGAATGTGTAATTCATCATTAATTTATCACAATATCTAAAAATTTCTATTTCACTATTCGTCATACCATCAACTTATTTACACATATTATCCACATTTAACAAGACACAGTACAAAAATATTAATATTATTAAATTAATGTAATCCAATGATTCCAATAAAAGAAGATTGTTTTTACGTTCTCTAGCAACTGAAGAGCCACAAAAAATGTAAAATATGTAATACAAATTCTCTTATATTTAAGATCAGCCAATGGATCTTTGGTCCTTAGTTAGTTTCGTCTTAATTCTAAAGGTCTTACCTTCACCAAAAGTATTATTTATCTCAATCTACATTAGACATTACTTACATGGAATCAAAACACTTTAAGGATCTTAAATTAGAGGATTTCGAAATAGTCTGTAAATTAGGATAAGGAAATTATGGTAGTGTAGAGAAAGTACTTCATAAACCTACTTAAGATTATTATGCATTAAAAGTATCATAATCTTTTATTCACATAGAAAATCCATTATGTTAGCAATGATATTTAAGAGTCATTATTGAAGAAAGAATTAAAGGCACTTATTGATTGCAATTCATAGTATGTTGTCTAATGTTACGGAGCATTTTATTCAAAAGGAGAAATATATATTGTTATGGAGTACATGGATATGGGATCATTATAGATAATCTTAGAAAAAACAAAAAAAATACCAGAATCGATAACTATGTTAATAATCAAAGAAGTTCTTTAAGGATTGGATTATTTGCATTCAAACAAACATATAATACATAGAGATATCAAACCACATAATATTTTAATAAATAAAAAAGGAGAAGTTAAAATTGGTGATTTTGGAATATGTTCTGTTAGCGAGAATTCAGATTAGAAATTCGATACATTTATTGGTACAATTTAATATATGTCTCCTGAGAGATTAAATGGAGAAGAATATGGATATGATTGTGATATTTGGAGTGTAGGAATGATGACTATGTAATGTATAACAGGTCTCTTACCATTTGAATTTGATGCCAAAAAAATGAGTATGATAGAATACATTTAAATGAGTAAGAATTTTAAGATTGATGAATACTTTTAATAACATAAACAGGGAATATCAGAAAATACAATCTAATTCATATCTAAATGGTATTCCTATTCCTTAATAATCTTTTATAGTTTACAATAGGAACCAAAGGATAGAAATAAAGCTTAAGAATTGTTACAAACAAAGGCGATCAAATATACACAGTCTCTAAAAATAGAGGTCTTTAAACAATGGTTGCAGTTGTCTATAGAGGAAATTTGAATTTACTTATTATTTTTTTCATATACTTAATTATATTTAACAGAAATGAATTAGCCACAACGAAGTCTTTCAAATTTGGGAATGTCTAAATCTCGTATTCTGTTTATCATCTATAAAGAGACTTTATACCAGAATAGAATAGGACATCTAGTGCATTTTATAAAAGAGATGAACAAAGTCGTTTAGATTAGCAGATGGCTAAATATGAACAATTCAAAAGAGATTACAAGAGAAATGAATTAAAATACTCATATTTCTAGTAATAACCTAGAGATTTGAATTTATCCTTTGTGGAAGAACGATATTAGAATACCTATAATTATCGACCTAATTATAATAACAATAAGCATTTATAAACGCAATAATATGATTACGATAGAGAATTATACAAAAAGGAAACTAAACAAGATTCACCAATCAAAGTGGAATTAAGTTATACTGCCCCTAATAGTGCTAAAAGAGGAGTAATTTCTGACACAGCTGCTTATTTGAGAGAAAGAGAAAAAATCATGAATTCCTTTATGACACAATAAGAAATTGAAAGAATTAAAAGAATTTACTTTAGAAAATGATATATAGTTAATCTATATATGATATTAATCTAATATTTTAATATATGACTTCTTACATAATTTAGACAATTATGTCTAAAATCTTTGCAATCATCCAAATAGTAAGGAAATACAGGAAACAAGAATAAATATAACTAAAATATTAGTAAGTACGGTTAGTACCGAATATAAAAAATAATCAAAACAATATTAAGATGATGTATTATAACATTATATTTAATAATCAACTTCCAAGATATTGAGTTAATCCATATGAGTTAGCAAAATACTCTGTGACTTTTCTGTTAAAAGAGTCTGGATTATTTTTGAAAGGTTTAAGTATTTGATAGTTTTCATATTCATCTAATCCAAAACAACAGCAGAATTGTAAGACCATTATTTGATATTTTTTCCTTGAGGTATATATTTATATTGTAATCTATCACAATCCATACGTTTATTTTAATATCCCTAGAATGAAATTAAAAAGTTACTTCTCTTTGAGCATCTACTAATCTAACGATGATAGACATGTTTTTAAGATAAAATACTTTATTATTCGTAACTTAATCTCGAAGATAATCCCAAGTATCTTATCTTTTAATATCTTCTATAACAGCGCTAGGTATAGATCCTCTGAAGATTGGTAATTAATAACAGTTTGACATAACATAATTGTCAGGTGAGAATATCGGTAATATTGACCAACCTACATCAGATATATCTCCATCTGGTTTAGAGAAAGGAACTGATTTTATATCTTATATTATATTCTAATATCTGTTAGCATTTTCTTTAAATTTGAACCAAGCATCATTATTTACTTTTGAATCGAAATCATAATTAGAACACAGATTTAGATCTTTCGGTCCTAAATAATATGTTCCTGGTTAAGATAAATAATAAAAGACAACATACATATGGGATTGATTTACTATATTATGTAATCCATCTACTGTTAATTTGAATCCTGCTTCTGATCTATATTTAGCAAAAACATCATATCAATCATAAATGAGTCATGAGTCAATGATATACGATTATCTAAATAATCTATTTTTTCATGATCCTTAAATTATTTATTTATTTGCTCTCCTTTTATTAATAAATAAGCAGCCTCTCTAACACTTATGTCAGGTCTTATTGTTCTTTAAGGAAATAGTTCATTTTCAGATTTTGTGATAAGAGCTAATTCAGTATTGTAAACTCTTGCTTCATATTAAAGTCGAGATCTCATAATACTTCTTGTGATTTGATCCTTTAAACTTGGAAATTCTTAAATCGATAAGGCTCTTTTCCCATCTTTACTTAATGGTGCTTTATAAATTCTTACTAACATAGTACAACATGGAGATCGTTCATGGGAATAACTAAATTATTTTATAGGATTATATACATTTTTTTCATATCAAAAGGAGGTGTCCTGTCTAATTATTAACAGAATAACGGAATTTGATATGCCCCAGAATAAACCATATAATTATCTTCATTAGGATCCTCAAGGTGATGATTTAGTTCCAGGATTCAAAAATAAATTTATAGCTGCATAACCAACAATTCTGTTATAATTAGTACTTTTATCAACAGTAGCAACTGTTATTAAAGCAATAGCAGTTGGATCAAATTTTTCTTTTCTTAATTCTCTTCTAAAATAGAATGTTGGATTATAAGCCATACTATTGAGATCAGGGGCAGCAGTTTCAGCATAAAACAATTTTTCATATCTTCTATTGTAGACTTCCATATATATTTTACATACTATAATTTTATCATGTAAGAATCTTAATCCATCAATATAAAAATCGATTCCATGTCTTCTTTTAAATTGTTCATTAATCCATTACTATTATCTATTATCGATATATTGACTATTAACTAAATGAATATCTTTAATCTCCTCTAATTTAGGTTTCTAATGTTGTTTTTGTTTCATCTACTTTTTAAAATCTTCAATATCTTTTTCTATATAAACAAATTCTTCTAATCCAAAGTCTATTACTTCCTCCATCTCTTAAACTTTAGTAGCATTAATAGATGGTCGTCTCAATGGAGGCTTAAAGAGGTTCATTTTGAATCTTCCAGTTGATAGACTTCCATCTTCTTATGTCAATTTAAGATATTACCATCCTATTAAGTCAAAATCTAATCCATGACAATTATTTTGAATTTCACTCAAAATTGATTTTTATAAATCGATATGTTCTGGTTTTTCCAAAAGTTGCAAATTTAAATACACTTACTACTTGTTTTTTTTTATCATAGCATTTAAATTTAAAAAAACTCTAAACTCCTCTTGAAATACGATATCTTAACCTGTTGTCTTATTATTCATTCCCTCATATTAAACATTATGCTTAGGCAATGGTATAATGTAATCTGGTTATAATACCTATCTATTTTTTTAGATCTAAAGAATTATGAATAGTAGTATTAAATGAAATCGGTAATCCATAAGCATCTAAGAAAATATTATTTTCTTCAAATAATGCTGCGATAACTCTTAAATGTGATCTAGCTTAATGATTATCAACTCTATAAATAATGAATCTTAATCCTTCTTATTTTCGATCATCTTAAATAGGAGGTTCTTTTATTCTAGCACCATATTTTTACATGAGTGGTGGTAATCCAGTAATTTCATACTCCTCATAGCTTTCTTCCATTCCTCTCATATTTTTAACTTTATCTCTTCTTCCAAATAATCCTCTCAAATGAATATAGGGTACAATGTATTCATGTTAAGTTTATTCTGGATAAATAGTTTTAACTTCTCCATAGTCATTATCATTAGGATATCCAATTCTTAAATAGACCCAACAATTTGGAATAGATTCTAAATTTTATATCTCTTCCACAGTTATTTCAGGACTGGTTGGTCCATAATAAACTGGGCATTTAAATTTTCCTCTTTTTAATTATGTATTATGATCAAAAAGATCAACTTGAGTCCATCCGTATGTTTCAGTTCTACCAACATTATCTTCGACTCTTTTGCAGAATGGATTTTAAACTTCCATAATCATTAAAGTATCTGGATGTGCAGGTACTTGAAATACTTAATGAGAATCACCAAATATGCATCTATTATGATAATAATTTTCTGTTTCACATTCTTTATGTTCAATTAATCTTGGCTAACAAATAACTTAATATTCATTAAACACTCCAAATACTACTTAACTATAATTACTCCTTCTTGGTAATCCTAATGTATAATCCCAATGGACTACAAATCCTTCACTCCAATTATATGATTGCATTTGTTGTCTTTTCAAAGTATTATCTTTTCTTAATCTATTCTCTACAATAAATTGTGGATTCTTATATTTATACATATCTACAGCTTATTATCCTATAGATGCTCTTGATCCATAAGCTTCATCACCATCAAATGGCTTAAACTCTAGTTTTTATTATTTCAATTAATATATATTTTATTATTATTCCGCAAATCTTCCATCATGTAATTTAGGATTAAAATTCTCCATTTATTAAATATCTCCCAATATATTCTTTGCATTTGCAACTAAATTCATTGTACCTCCTCTTTAACCAGCTTTTAAATCTTTATTTCTGAATCTATCTAAATTGTACATTATTCTTAATCTCTCTCCTTCCAATTATTCTCTTTTTAATTTCAATTAAGCAACATTGTCTGATCTTTCTTAATCTTCATTTAATTTTGTATTTTATTTTTATTTTAATTACATTCCTTCAATTACATTATTAATTTTTGATACTTCCTTTTATCTCATTTAATCAAGGATTTTAATATTCTATACCATTTATTCAATATCTTAAATAAATTCATTCTGTTTTATTCTAAGAGCTTCCCTTTCTGCTATCAATTTTTATAACTCCCTCTTTCTCTCTTATTCCATTGCTGTTAATTTTGATTTTTCTAAATTCATAAATACTTTTCGTATTTCATCTTCCTCTATTCTTGCTCTAATTTCCTACTCTCTCACTTATTTAACTTCATATAATAATTCTTCAAATCCATAGTTATCATCATCTCTTTTCATTTTAATTTATTGTCTATCATTTTTTAGTTTAAATAATTCATCTACCATTTCATCTTCTCTATTTTTCTATGCCATTACATGTAATCTTTTATATTCATCATCTTATTATTTTATCTAATCTTCTAAAGTCTCCAAAGATAATCAATTCTATTAATATTAAACTGGCAGAAGTCTATTACTCTCTATTATTTCTCTTGCACTAAGTGCATTACTCTTTTTAAAATTCATTAATTCTCTTTAATATTTCTCTTCTAATTCATTTTAAGACCTATAATCTGAACTCATACAAAACTATTCATTAAAAAGTATATTTTGAGACATGAAATTTAAATAGTAAATGATAATAATATATTACTATAAACAATAAACAAAATTCTTTTCCAAAAATCACACTTACTTTTCATAGTAAAGAGTTGTAGTGATATTGTTAATTGGTGTCGCATGAAATTCTAATACTTCCTTAACAAAATCTATTTATATAATTGTTGAATGATTACCATCAGATTAATTATGAAAATTCTATATAATTTACATCACTGAAGTACTTCTGGCTGAAGGTGGATGCATTTCCATAGAATCCATCGATCTATCTCCAATAAAACAATCTCTTTTTCTTTCATGATAAGTTGTCCATAAAATCATTAAACAACCTACGCTTGGACAATACATTAAACAATAATATCCTAAATTAGGAGAGATAGATGACAAATAGCCATAAACAATTGGAGCTGGCAAATATCCAAATAAATTCACATAAGTAGTTGTATTAGAATTTGCAAATGATCGCATACCTTAATTTACTGATGATAATACAATTCCTAAAACTTTATTTATAAATTACCAGTCATTATAGGTACTAAAGCGCCTCCAAAAAAGAGTAATAACCATATAAATCCTGTAATAGCCCATAAATTATTTGTTAATGTTACACAAATTGAAGATAAAGAACCTAAAAATGCTGCAATACAAGTAATATAATAAGCATTCTTAGAATCATATCCTCCATAATGTTATGTTACTAATCCTCCTAAAAATAAACTAGAAATATATATTTTACCTAATACACATCCAAGTGTAGGACCTGTAATTGAATCTAAACTAAAAAGTGTATTAACTAGACCTTAATTAAAGCACAAGACTGTAACTAAATAATTAGAAATCCAAAATTATATTCCTGTTACAGAAAAATATAACAATCCCAAAACTATCGTCATTACTACATAAGACCTAGATTAAAATGTTAATTTGATCAATTCTATATAAGGCATCTTTTCATATGTATTATTATTATCTTTAACATAGGGTCTTACATCTATGTTTTTTTAAGGTTATCGAGATAGTAATACAATACTTGGTAGAAGGACTCCAATTTATAAATAAAATGCCCATCTCCACTTGAATATATTTTTTTTATTTTATTACATTCCATTAAGCTGCAATTACACTAGCCAATACATATCCAACAAACACTCCAAAAGGTACTCCTCCTTATAAAATGGTTAACCATACTGTTTTGTTTTCTTAACCAAATGTGTCTACCCAAACAGGGAAATAAACTATCAAAGGAGCTTAGGCTGCTCCAGTTATAAATCTACTTAAAAAATAAGGCCATCCAATATCAAATTACAAAGTAAATACAAAAAGACTCAAAATCATAGTAATCATACTGATTTCAATAACTCTTAAAGGATTGTATTTCAAAAATATGAATGAAGCCACAAATCCCATTACAACAGTTCCTGCATATACTAAAGATCCCAATATTCCTAATTCTTAATTTGATAATCTCAATGCACTTTGAATCTGAACACTTGCTTAATATTTTAAAATCATAATTTAAACCTGCTGGAATTATACCATGGTCAAGACTCACAAGTAAATTTGTGATTGAAATTAAAACAAAAACTCTATATGCATCTGGTATTTTCTGTTATTCTTAAGCATCCTTCATTAATAATATATTTATATTAATAAAAAGAAAATATATCCCAAATATTTATAATTATTAAACAGGTTTAAGTAATTAATATTATTTATTTTATAAATTACATATATATTCTGGATAGTTATATATTTAATTAAATAAGAAATGATAAATTGTAACATAGAGATACAAAATATCATTAATTTTCTAAACTTTATGATAAATGTTCAATATAAATTTTATTAACATAAATAAATCAACTATTGAATTCTTCATCTTATTCATCTGGTAAACCTATTTCTTCAGCTTTTCTCTAATCTTCTTGAATTTATGCAATTTAATTAGCATCCATTTAAATTTCTGGGGGTAAGAGAGCTAAAGCTTAGACTAAAGCTAGATTGGGATCACTAAATGATAAAAATAAAAATATTACTTAGCTAATCTTCTTAATAAGTATAAGAATGGTTTTTCATATTAATAGTTGGATTTTGCTGAAACATCATAGTATTAGATATTAACTTTACGATGGAATGTAATTTATCTGGCTTTGACTTTTCTGTCTTTTGAGTCAACCTAAGAATTTAGTGAAAAAATAATACTTTGTTTCCAACTAAAACAATAGGTATGTTTTCACAAATTCTTGTGAGATCTTTATGCCATTTAGGTACATTTTTGTAAGAGATTCTTGATGTCACATCAAACATAATGATGGAACAATGAGCTCCAATATAATATCCTTCTCTTAATCCTCCTAATTTTTCTTATCCAGCAGTATCCCAGATAACTAATCTAATTGGACCATGAGTTGTATAAAATATAACTTAACTTACTTCTACACCTTATGTAGCTAAAATTATGTTAAAAACATTTGAATACCTATATATTTCTTTTCGAATTCTCCTGTCAAATGTCTTCTAACAAATGTTGTCTTTCCAACTGCTCCATCACCTACTACAACTAATTTGAATTCTGCAGCAACTTAAACAGGTTATTATTATGCCATGTTTACACTAAAAATTTACTTATTTAAATAAAAAAATTATTATTTTTTTTCACACATTTAAATAAAAATCAATCCAATCATTTTTCAATGTTTTAGAATTTAAATTTTTAAATTATTAATTATAATAAAATAATCAACCTCGGTATTAATTTTATTTTATTTTTCATTCAAAATAACATGGACATTCAAAATATTATGTAATAATTGGGAGGAGCTTAAGCTATTAATCCTGAAGCATCTATTCCTGATACAGCAGAATAAGTCACTATTAGTGCTCTTGCATTAATCAAAATGCTTAAAGTACAATTTCTAAGTTAATAATTCTTATAGCATGCCAGAGCAGGCATTCCTTTTGAAGTTATGGGTCTATTATTAGGAGACATAGTAGATGATTATCACATTAGAGTTTATGATGTTTTTTCAATGCCTTAAACTGCAAGTAGTGTTTCCGTAGAATCTGTGGATCCAATTTTTTAATAAAAGATGGTTGAGCTTCTAAACTTAACAGGAAGAATGGAAAATTGTATTGGTTGGTATCACTCACATCCCTCATATGGATGTTGGCTTTCTAGTGGTATTTATTAATTTCTCATTATTTGAAAGTTGACATTAATACTCAATAATCATATGAATAATTAAATAAAAAATCAATTGCTGTTGTTATTGATCCAATACAATCAGTCAGAGGAAAAGTAGTTATTGATGCATTCAGATTAATACCTTAATAAAATATGCTTAGTTAATCAGAACCAAGATAAACTACATCTAATACAGGACATTTATAAAAACCTGGATTAGAAGCTTTGTTAAGAGGATTAAATAGATATTATTACTCTATTAATATTAAATTTAAATGTAATGATTTAGAATAGAAGATGCTCTAAAATTTATATAAAAATAGTTGGACTGAAGGTTTAAAGTAATTATTCAATAATATATTATTATTAGATGTAACTCTGCTAATGAAAATAGCANACCTATATATTTCTTTTCGAATTCTCCTGTCAAATGTCTTCTAACAAATGTTGTCTTTCCAACTGCTCCATCACCTACTACAACTAATTTGAATTCTGCAGCAACTTAAACAGGTTATTATTATGCCATGTTTACACTAAAAATTTACTTATTTAAATAAAAAAATTATTATTTTTTTTCACACATTTAAATAAAAATCAATCCAATCATTTTTCAATGTTTTAGAATTTAAATTTTTAAATTATTAATTATAATAAAATAATCAACCTCGGTATTAATTTTATTTTATTTTTCATTCAAAATAACATGGACATTCAAAATATTATGTAATAATTGGGAGGAGCTTAAGCTATTAATCCTGAAGCATCTATTCCTGATACAGCAGAATAAGTCACTATTAGTGCTCTTGCATTAATCAAAATGCTTAAAGTACAATTTCTAAGTTAATAATTCTTATAGCATGCCAGAGCAGGCATTCCTTTTGAAGTTATGGGTCTATTATTAGGAGACATAGTAGATGATTATCACATTAGAGTTTATGATGTTTTTTCAATGCCTTAAACTGCAAGTAGTGTTTCCGTAGAATCTGTGGATCCAATTTTTTAATAAAAGATGGTTGAGCTTCTAAACTTAACAGGAAGAATGGAAAATTGTATTGGTTGGTATCACTCACATCCCTCATATGGATGTTGGCTTTCTAGTGGTATTTATTAATTTCTCATTATTTGAAAGTTGACATTAATACTCAATAATCATATGAATAATTAAATAAAAAATCAATTGCTGTTGTTATTGATCCAATACAATCAGTCAGAGGAAAAGTAGTTATTGATGCATTCAGATTAATACCTTAATAAAATATGCTTAGTTAATCAGAACCAAGATAAACTACATCTAATACAGGACATTTATAAAAACCTGGATTAGAAGCTTTGTTAAGAGGATTAAATAGATATTATTACTCTATTAATATTAAATTTAAATGTAATGATTTAGAATAGAAGATGCTCTAAAATTTATATAAAAATAGTTGGACTGAAGGTTTAAAGTAATTATTCAATAATATATTATTATTAGATGTAACTCTGCTAATGAAAATAGCAAAAGAAATGAATTCTGTGTTGAAGATATGTCTAAATTAGCTCTAGAATATTAAAAATTGATTGGTATTAATTTTTAATTTAATTATAAAGATGATGAATCAAAAAAAGGAGAATAAGAAACTAAGATTAAAAATACAGGTAAAAAAGATCCAAAGAGACATCTTGGTTTAAAAGTAGATGAACTACTTGATGAAAATTTAAATGCTATATTAGGAAGGATGATGGCTACAAAAGCCTTTTGATCCAATTTATTGATAATATTAATAATCATTAATAATTTAATGTTTACTTCTGAACAAATTGCCACTAATTATTAAATCAATTTTTCTAAATTGATAGGCAAAGGACAAGATAGTACAGTATTTTTTATTATCAATAAATAAACTAAATAATAATGTGCATTAAAATGTTTAACATAAACAATTGAGCAAAATGCAATTAATTTATTCATAATTTTTATATCATATTTTCAAGAGAACAAGATCCAAATACTTCGTCATATTCAAAATCCACATATAATAACAATGATTAGATATTATTCTGATTGTTCTTGTATGTTATTTGAATTAATGTCTAATGATTCTCTTTATAAAATCTTACTCTAAGATCCTTTACCTGTAGCTATTGCAAATAGAATTTCTTAACCTAATTAGCTTAAGTTATTTAATAATATCTTCATAATAAAAGAATAACTCATTGAGATATCCAATTAGATAATTTGTTAATTTTCGGAGATTATATATTTAAATTTTGTGATATTGGATTTGCTAAAATCAATGGATAAACTTCAATACCCTAAAATACATTTTCTGGTAGTGAAAGTTATACAGCTCCTGAAATTTGGTAAATTACATCAGATTTGAAAATTGTGACATTTTTTCATTACTAGTATTTTACTTAATTATGGTTATTGGACATCCTCCTTTTAAATTAAATAATTCATAGATTGAAGATGTTTGATGGAAACTGATTAAAAAAGAAGAATAGAATAGAATATATTTTGGAAGGAACTAAAATTAACAACTATATTACTTTAAAATGTTAACATAATTATTTAAAAATTACTTTGTGTAAATTATCAAATAAGATACTTAACTAATGATTTCATTTAACTATTAATAGATAAATTTTCCCTATATCAATTTAAATTGTTTATAAAATTAAAAAAAGACTTTTTTAATAAAAATGAAATATTTGTTTTTTTATATTCAATTATAAAAATAGATTATGTTTTGAAAAGAAACAAAATTTCATTAAAATACTAATTTATCAACACTTTATCTTTAAAGTAAATGTTATTTTAAAATTGCTTAACTGTATTGTTCCTTCTGATTTTTGAGATGCTTTTACTTTTGATTTTCTTCAATCATTTTATCAATTATCTTTTATTGTTCTCTCTATTAATGGTTTAACTATTTACTTCTCTTTCTTCTGCAAATGCTCTTGTATTATTCAAGGCTCTTTACAATCGCATTCTATTTTTTTCAGTTTATTCTTTTATTTTAAAATCTATACTTGATTATATTGATTACAATCGACCTGAAATATCTAATTTTTATTTTTAATTAAAATACTTTTATCATTTTCTTTCTTTTTTATAGACTCTATCTTCTATTCTAAGAGATTATTTAATTTTTCTTTATTTTTTTTCACTCTTCTAAATTAACTTGCTAATTTAGTTTTGACTTATCCTAATTATTCATTTTTGATTGACATTTATTCTTCAACCATTTTATTACTTAAATCAGCAAATTTAATATATTATTCTAGCTTATTTTATTATTATTCAATTTGAGTTTAAATTACCTTTTACTAAGCTTGTTCTTATTTTTAAATACTTAACTATCTCTTTTAATTCATTTCTTCTTTTAATTTTTATAGTAATTACTCTGCCAGTTATTCTTTTTCTATTTACTTTTCCAAAATCAATTCAATTTATTAATCTTCCATATATGCAGCAAGTTTCTTCTTTTCTTTTCTTTCTTCATCTTTCCTTTAATTTCTTTCTTATTGCTCTCTCAATTCTTAATTATGTTATGAATCAAATTAAACTTTATTTTACTAAGTGATTTCTTGTTTTTTATTTAGATATTCCTAAATCTTCATTCTTTACTCTCTATCTTTAACTTCTAATTCATGAATTTTTTCTAGTGTCTTCCTCTAACGATCTTAAAATATTTTCTTTCTTTCTTATTGTTTACTATAACAATTAATTTATTTATTACATTTTATTCATTTATTTAACTGTTTCCACCTTCTTAGCCATTACAGGAACTTTTTGTTGATAATAATCATGTAAAGATTTAAGTTTTTCTTCTTCCAATTATTTGTATCTAGTTAGAGTTTACAAATATTCTTAACTCTTTTTTGCTTACATTTCTATTCTCTCTTCAAAGGATGTTTATAAGAAATCTAAGGAACGAGTATTAAATGATTTTGACATTATAGTGGTCAACTTTGTTGGTATTACAATAGCACCGCCATCAGTGAGGAAACCTGATAGATGAAATGGAGACTGATACTTGAAGTATTTTATTAAGTATGTGATTTGTTTAGTTTGTTTTTTTATTTCTATTCTTTCTCTTGTTTTTTTATCAAATTTCTTGTACTCACAATTCGTAACAATTCTTTATACTTTTCACTTAGGTAGTTCATGTAATTAATTAAATTTTGAATAGGATGAAGTTCAGGCATTTGAAACTGCTAAAATGTAAATATGTGACATGCATTCTCACCTAATTCTAATTTATTTAAAGATTCTTTTGTTCTAGGAGATTAAGAATCAAGTTTTAAAAAGAAAATTGAAAGTTTATTTGGATCTCTCAAAATTTTATCTTTATCATCAAATGACATAAAATCCTGACTTATAGCTTCATCAATTATTGCATTTGAGAGAGTAGGAAATTTGAGTTTCTTGGCAAAAAATTGATTAATAAGATGGAATTTCTAATCTTCTGTCAATTTAGGTTTCATTCTTGGTGATTGTACCTCACTACTATGACTATTGTGAAAACTTGACATTAAAAATAAAATAATTAAATAAAATGCTCTTAGATAATGTACTGTTGAATATGTAATAAATCAGCGTTCATTTCTTTTACTTCTTTTTGGTTTATTGTTTCTTTCCACCTGCACCAATAACAATTTTATTGACATCTAAGTAATTGTGAATTAGGTTAAATACTTTATGGAAGTGTTTATTAAATTTTTTAGGCCTTATTCTTATCAGCTGTTTTGAAGGTAAAAAGATATTTCTTTCCTCTCAACTTGAATTTGGTGATCTTCTTGGACTCTTTAATATAGAGATCTATTTAAAATTAGATAAAAATGTACTCTTTTTTGGTTCTTTATTGGCATCTTTGCCTTATGCTTCGTTACCCTTCATGAGTGAGAGGAATACTTTAACATCCTGAATTTCCTTAGGCATATTAATTTAAAAAAGATTTAAAAATTTTAATAATAAAAACAAATAACATAATTCACTTTTGAACATAATCCTCTCTACTTTGTTATTCATTCTTACCCCTCAATTTCTTCAATTATTCTTCAGAATAATGAGTGATTTCAACTGGTTTTTATTATGTATCTTAATAACGAGATCCTTTTTTCTTATACACTCTAAATCCAAATATTCTTGGAACATACTATTGATTATTTGGAGTAATCTGAATTTCTTATATAAAATTCTTATTAAATTAAGCATCCTCATACCATAATGAAGATAGAAGGAAATGAACATCCAAAATAGGCACCATCTACATCTGGACATTTCTTTTTTGGAATATACACTTCTTCACATCTTGGACAGAATACTTTTACTCTAGATGTTCGTAATTCTTCACTCATTCCTACAGGTAATACATTTGATCTTTCACATAAAACTCTAGGACAAGCACCAAATCTACCTGCCATAAACTTATCTTTCATTAAAGCCAATCCTTTTAAATATTTTATTCCTATACCTTTGGCTGTAATTATGAATCTAGCATGAATTAATCCATATAAATCTGTAGCCTCTTAATATACTTCCAAAAAACGTTCATCTTCTAAATCTTCATCATCAGGAGTCTCAGAACTTAAAATTAAATCCAAAGCTTCACTAATTATTATATTTCCAAAAATACTTATAAAAATTGAATTTGCTCTTTAAACCATACAAATTGAAGTTGTCTCTTATAAAATCGCTATCAACTTCACATAAAAATTAATGATCTTCCATTGTGCAAAACCATTAAATCCAACCTGTCCCTTCTGAATATGATGAATCTCCTGACATATTTTATTTTTATATTTAATAATATATTAATTTTATTAATCATTATAAAATCAAAATGATCAAAACAGTCATGCAAATTCCAATCATATAATGAATATAGAATCTCTTTATTTCTTTTTTATTCTCCTATACATCTTTTACTTAAGATTGATCCCATTAAGATATTCTTGGAGTTTCCTAAAAACTTTGTTTTCTTTATTATTAATTACAATAAGATTTCACTGCATTCTTTATTAAATCTTAATTCTTATTTTTCTATTAAATAACTTTACGTTATTATTGTTGTTATTATTATTATTATTCCAGTTCGCTTTCTTATTTTTTTTATTCTCCTTCTTTCGTTGAATCGTCAATGTCAGTTATATGTTACAAAGAACAAGGCATTTTGAATTCCATATTTCTTTCACTAATTTGAAGTCCATTTTCAGTCTCCTATTCAAATTACTTAGATTATGTAGGTAGTATTCTTTATGTATAAAGGTCCTAATATGAATCATTATCAGATTATTCAGAACTTTTTTTTGAAATTAATGTATTCACGGTATCTCTATTTTCCTATTCATTTTCTTATTGAAAAGTCTTTATTTCTAAAAAATATTCTTTTAATTTTTCATTTAATATCGAATATAAACGCTAAGTTCCAATTTCTATACGATTAGGATTTTGTTCTAAAAATGATTACTCTATCTATGTAATTTCATTTGTTTAGGAAAAACTTAATTATTTATTTTAGAATTGACCCCTTACAATATTAAAAAACAAAGAAAATTAATGTTTTTTTATTTTTTCATTTAATATTGAACTTAACATTGTAGTACTTGCAAATTTAATCGCTAATTATTCTTTCAAAGTCATTTCTTCTTATTAATTAATACTTGATTCTTCATCTTCTTGTTGAATCATTTGATTTTAATCGAGAACACTAGTTTTTAAAATTTTCTTATTTTGATGGTATCTCATTATATTTAAAATACTTAGATATTAAGACCTTATTTGACATTCTTTGACAAAGTTAGATATTTTTAGAAGTCCTTTACAATAATTTGATTAATACTTAATCCTTTTTAATGCTTACCTTTACTGTTAGTTTACAATTTTATTCAAAACATGATTAAGTACAATTCCCGTAGCAATAGGAATTTCTTGGTATTGATCTGGTTATATTTATTACCTAATTTAATTGTTAGATAAATCTTCTATAACAGGAGGAAGAGATATTGTTTGATTTAAATCTAGAAAACCATTAGCTTAGATTGTTTTTCTGTCTTTTTATAGAATCCAAAAGTATGTTTAGAGTTTAGCAGATTTATACTTTTATAATTTATGAAGTAGAGATTAAGTGGCTAATACAATTCTAAGTTAAGTAAATTTCATAGCTAATTTGCTTGATTCATCTTCTCTCATTTCACATAATACTTTGCAAGCTACTTTTACTTGAGTCTTACGTTCCTATTTATTAATAATATATTTACACTTGAGGCATAAGATTTAGTTGTAGAATAGCTAATCAACGAATTTTGATCTGGATTTGTTTTTGTTCTGCGTTCATTCTCTATGACAAAAGGGGATTTCATAATTATAAAATTATGTTATTAAAAAAACTCTTTTTTTATTGTTTTTCCAGAAGTAATATAAAATTAGTTACAGTATGAAATCATTTACTTAAAAATTTTGATTCAAAAATAACTTCTTTTTGTTTTTATCTTTATTTTATTCATTTATTATTTTTTTTTGAAAAATAAAAATATATTGAGAGAAAATTTCATTTAATTCCAACTTATTTTTTTAATACCAAAAAATAAGCATTCATTAATTTAAGACTATAAATGAAATAGAATAGAAATAGTAAACTTATTTTGAGGTAGGGAATATAAAATTTAATTATGATTTGAATTTTTATTTATTTTGCTAAAAATAATATTTAGAAAGAAATTAATAAAATGAGAAAACTAATAATTGATTTTTTCCTTAATATTTAATATTTACAAATAATCAATAAAATTTTTTTTAGTCATGATAATATGAATTGTTATTTTAAGATAATGTTTAAGATAATAAGAAATTGATAGATGGAAGAATTAATAAAATTTCATCAGTATAAAGAGGAGAGTTAATTCGATGATTAATTTGATAAAAATAAGAAATTACTATGAAAGAGTTGGTTGAGTTAAAGATTGATTAGAAATGAATAATAAAATGGTTGAGTTAAAGTTTGAGAAATTTAATAAGTATTAAAAGTGAAAAAGGTTGGATAATTAATGAAATATGATTTAAAGAAAGATGAGAGAAAAATGAAAAAAGAATTGAAAAGTATAGTAGAATAAAGTTTGAATGATAGAAGATCAGTAAAGAAAGAAAATGATGGAGAGTGTATTTAAATGAGAATATAATTGAGATTAATGAAATATTTATATTTTTTATGAACAAGAATTCACCATCACCTAGTTCACCAACCCCAGTGATACTGGTACTTGTTACCAATAAATAAGGGTAAGTCTTGGAACATAGCTAATTTTTTAGAACATTTTCAGTATTTGGTCAAGTTAAAAAGGTACTTGTTTATTTTGATTTGTATTTAGATTCTTATATTCGAAAGAAAAATCATTTGGAAAGTGTTCATTGAATATGAGAATGCTTAATAAGCATAATAAGCATTAGTATTAGATGGTACTCTCTTTGATTATTAATTAAAAATGAGAGTACATCTTAGTCAACGTGATTCTCTAGTGTTTTAGAATAATAACAATTGTGGTGTAGGTATTATTTTTGTTTTATTAAAATTAGATTATACTACACTATAATCAAAGTAATAGTTTTTCTAATAACTCAAGGAAGATTCAGGGTCTCTTAATTAATAATTACAGTAGAACTTAGACATGCTTAATTAACTTATAACTCAATTAAGTTAAACGGCAGATTTAAAAGAATAAATCTCCTTAATCTAATAAATATAAGAGTATCGTAATCAAACATAGTAATTGACTGTTCTATATTAACAGTAATTACGTAATTATGCATCTGTTTTATAAAGAGAGGGAAAGAAATAGAAATAAATAGTGACAACAGTCACAACACCTTCTCCATCACCTTTTTTACATTCAACTTTGGATTCAATTAGATAATAGATATTAGAAGAGTCTTCAGAAGAAGATAAAGAAGACTTTTCAGATGGAGAAAGTGTATCATCATAATAATCATCAGAAAAATCTTAGAAATCTACACATTCTGAAGATAATTATAATGAAGTCTTTTGTAATGACTCCACAAATCCTTTTTCTTGTGGTGCCAGTCCTTTTACTCCATATCCATAAACTAAAATAACAAGTCCATTTATAATGACTCCAACTACTTTACCAACATATTTAATTATTTAACATTCTAATATTAATCTACGGGTGGTGTATAACATCTTTAGTACATTCACAAGAGTAGATGCAATTTATTAAAGTCATTATGGAGCTTATCTTTAAGTTGCTTCTAAAGAAGAAGCTGTTCGAATGAAAAATCTACTGAGCAAAACTTTACTTTTTGGAATGCCAATGAATCTCATTATTTCAGATCAGCTTTCTCATGATGCTCATAAGATTACTTTACCTTCAAATGAAAGAAAACCTCTTTTGTAATCATAATAATTATCAAACTCAATCTTAATTACAGGACTTAATGGAGTTACACTAGAATAGATGTATCAATATTTCGGGTGTATTACTCCCATCTTAAATATGAAGTATAATCATATCAATCATATCTATTAGATTCATTAATCAGAGCTCTTGCAAAATACTGTATTCAGATGTAGGATGCAGTTTAAGTGTCTTAGGATATAGCCAAGACGCTAAAATTAATGGAAGGTATTTATATATATAGAATCTATTTTAGATCTGTGTAACTTTCATTCACAGCTTTCTGATTAATGAATTTTATCATATTAATTTATCACATAATTAAACAAAACAACCTTCCTAATCAATTATATCTTAATTTTTATATAATTATTTATTATTTTTCATTTATTTAATCTTTAATACAAAAAATCATTTTTATTTTAAAATTTCTAATCGAAAAATGATATTTTAATTTAATATTAAATACTATTTTATAGATCTTAACATAATATTATTGTTTATTTCTTTTCTCCTCTTAATCTAAAATAGATTAATACCTTTATTGATTTTAAAAACTTAATAATTAAATTTAATATCTCACTCAAAACAAGTATTTTATTAAAAACTATTATAATTTTATCATATATTATGTCTAATTAAGAATTATATACAGAACCTAAAAATTAGTTATCATAAAGTTCTGAAAATTAGGATTCATAATAATAAGAAGGGAGTATTCCTCTTACTATATTTTCAAAAGGTTTTAAAAATTAAGAAAAATAAATGGAATTTCAATAATAAGATGAATTGAATTAGTAAAATATGAATCAATAATAATAATCTGATGAGCAACAATAATTGAAAGAAGAAAATTCACCTCAATATTTATCATTTGAAAAATAACCTATAGAAGGCGAAATATAAATTAACTAATATGATAACTAATTTGATGATAATTAAAGTATTTAGAAGCCTCAATAAGAATAAAAGGAAGGAGTAGAAAAGATAGAAAATGAAGTTGATGATCTATAAAAACTATATGATGCAATTGGAAAGAATAAAGAAGATCTTAAGATAGAAAAATAAGAATCAGAAATCAAGGTTGAAAAATAAGAATCAGAAATCAAGATAGAAAAATAAGAATCAGAAAGTTCAGCTGAAGATAGCCCAGATTAAAAAACAGAGAAATAAAATACAATAATTTTAAAATCCTAAAGATTATATATGTTAGAAGTTTACGAAAGAAATGATGAAGCAATAAGAATTGAATTAATAGAATAATTGAAAACATAATTTGCTTTTAAATAGACACATCCTTTTGATTTATTAATAATGTATGATGATGCTTTAGTTGAATTTTAAATAAGTCTAGATGAATTAGATCATGCCTTGAAATCTATATCAATTGAATTACAATTAGATTAAAAAAGAATTGTTTAGAAATACTATAGAATACCTTAAAAGGAATCTATCTCAACTATAAAATTATGTTGCAGTTTGGTAGAAGACTTAGGAGAATTAGTTATGATGTCTATTAACTATATTATTAATAAATATAGATTATTGATAGATATCTTTTTTGAAGAAGTAACAGGACCAGATAAATTGATCTCTGTAGAAACTTTGAAATTGTTAAATAGAGAATGGTTTTGGGGGTTGGATGAAGGGAAATTATAGTAAATTTATAATTTAATGACAGATTATGGAAATAATATATATAATTTTCAAGTTTTTAAATAAAAATTATCTAAAATAGCAGAGTAAGTTGATAAGAAGTTTAATTTTAATGCATATTAAAATATAGTTAAATCCATTATTAAGAATAGTTCTATTGAATAAATATTTCGACTTTTTAGAGAAGAAGATTAAGGAATGACTGATGAAATTTAGATTTAGAAGTTTATAACAATAATAACCAAATTTATAGAGAGAGCCTTATCAAAGCAAGAATTATTTGCGATTAGAAAATATTTAGCAAAAGATAAAGATGAAGATATTGTCATTTATTAGAAGCTTATTAATGATGCTTTAAAAGTAATAGATGATGATAAAATATAAAAGTAATAGGAATTGGATAAATTAAAATTAGTACAAAAAGATATCATTTTAGAATACTTCAAGAATATTGTTGAAAAGTCTTAAACTATACCAGAACAATATTTTAAAATTGAATAATTATTTAAAATGGATAAAGAAACTTTTATTGAACAAACTATTATTTTGACTGGTTTTATTATAGATAAAGATAAAGCTTTAATTATTTATGATATGATTAAGGAGGAAAAAATAGATAAGGAAGAAGATGAAATTAATGTAATTGAATTTACATAATTTATAAATAAAAAGAAAGCAGAGATTGCATAATCTGAATAGGAAAAAATATAATAATAAAAAGAAGCTTAAGAAAAAATTGATTAATCTAAAGGCACTTCATAGTAAATTTTATAACCTCCTTCCTTATTAAAGTAAGGTTAATCATAACAAGGATAATCTTTAAGATAGTAATTATAATTGCCTTTGAGTGCAATTTCATAACCTTAATCAGCTCTTAAAGAAAAACAATCAATGTTATAACAATAAGTATCTAGCAGACAATAGGATAAATCTTCAGAAAGATATTAAGATAAGGTTTCAGAAAAGTAGATTGATAAAGATAATAGAGATAATAATAAAGATAATAATAAAGATAATAAAGATAATAATAAAGATAATAAAGATAATAAGGATAATAAGGATTCAAAAGATAATAAGGATTTAAAAGATAATAAAGAAAAAGACAAACTTTAATAATAATAATAATAAAGTATTTCTCTAAGAAATGATATTTATTAGTTATTTAATGAACTTGATGAATAAAAGGTGAAATTTTTAACATAATAATAAATGTTTTCAGGTTTGCTTAAAATAGGAGTTGTTGTAAAAGGATCAGAATTAATGAGTTAAAAATCATATGATTATTTTAGTTTTGAAAAAGTAATAATGTTATAGTTTAAACAATTTTTTAATTCAGCAAAATTGATTTATAATTTAAAAAAAGAATTAGATTAATATAAAGAAGAAGAAAGTGATATAGTAAATATTCCATTATTGAAGTATTTTCTAATTTATTAATAATAGGACATTATTTGAGAAAATTAGATTGAATGTAAAATTTGAGGATATATAATATTTGTTTTCAATTTTAGACAAAGAGTAGAAGGGTAGCATAAAACTGAGCAATTTATTCTATTTGATACATAAGCATCCAATATTAGATTACAGATTGAATGAATTATTATTTAGAGTAAGAAACAGGTTCTAAATAGATGAAAGGATATTATGATAATTCGTTAAGGATGCATAAATTCTTATATTCAAAACTTCCTTAGAATTATTGCAGACCCCTTACTTCAAAAGCCAATTTACCAAGCTATTCTTTTCGATATAAATTAGATTTATTAGGAAACATATAAATTCATCGACCATGTTCAACTAATAATTTATGCAAAATAAAATTATTAGAAGCATAAGGAATTCCTTCTCCAAAAGATAAAAGCACTTGTTTTAAAAGAGAAATAATAGTTGCTATATATGATAACTTTTATAAATAATTTGTTGAGAATAGTCTTGTTCTTAAAGCGAAGTACATTCCTGAAAATGAAGATATTTGGTATTTTCCAGTGAAAAATAGAAATAATGGATTTTACTTGAATTGTGAGAATTACAAAGATAAATTAAATTTAATATTAGTGTTTGATTTTATAAGTTATTTTAAGGAAAATAATTAAGTACATAAGATAAGTAGTTGTTTTGCAGAGATACCAGTTGCACATATAATGAGATTAGGTACATTTATATTACCCTTGAAAGGGGGTACAATAGAATAAATAGTAGCTATTACTAAGGAGGATATAAGATGTAAGAGAGGTGGAATTTCAGGACTTATAACTAGAATTACTGGAGATGTAGAACCTTAATTGAAAATAGTTAGTATGAATAAATCAAATAGACCTTAATTGTAAAAAGAATTATAAATGTTACCTCCATTTTGTTTATGTCATAGAAATATGACATAAATAATTTAGACTTATAGAATATTTTGTGAGGATAAATTGAAATAAGATGAAAGTGTATTTATATAATCTATTGATACATTTTTATTTTCTTTAGATTGTCCATACATATGTTCTAAAATGTGTAAGTTATGGAATAGGATAATACAAGGTAAAATGATAGGTTAAGAAATGGCATCATTCTAAATTCTGATTGGATAATTGTAGAAATTAATTAGATTAAAAGATTTCAATTTTAATCCTTATTCACCTTCAGAAGTTTTTACTCCTGAAATTAGTAAGCCAAAAAGAAATGTTGTTAAATCTATTTTTGAATATGCAGAATATTTGATTGATAGTTCATTTTTTAATAAATTGGGATTAGATGGTGATGAAATTTTGAAAGAACAAATGGATTTATATGGATAACCTTTGATTCAAGGAATTTATGATGGAGAACATGATCCATTTGACAAATATTATAATGGATTGAATTTACAGGCGTATGAAACTTATGTATAATAATTGTGATATTTATAAATGGATGATAATTTTAAGAAATTAATTGATTCTACATAACCAGAATCTCTATCTACGATCAGACTATGTAAGAGATTAGGATATCGTCCAGAAGATTTAACGTATAAGTATATACCTATGTTATAACAAAATTATAGATCCATCGATGAATTTTAATCTGTAAATTAAGAATTGAGATAAGTAAAATATGATCATTACAAAGCTAGAGTGCTTAGTAAAATCTTAAATTTTAAATAAAATAGAAATTGTAAATGAAATCAACAATGTGAGAAGTAGAAACAAAACAACTGGTTTATCAGAGTTGCCTAGTTAAACTAATGTTTAATTTTCTTCTTTTGTTGATAATATGGAACAATAATCTTAGAACTTTTCAGTTAAAGAAAGAGTGCTTTAAAATTTAATTTATTAGGAACTTTTGAGATAAAAAAAGTTTGCTTAATATTATCAATAAAAAAATAAAATTTTAGAACGTAAAACTAAATTGCCAACTTAACCTTCTTCATAAATTACAATTTAATCTAAACCATCGACATAATTATTAAAAACAGATTAATCAACTAGACGTTGTGAAACATAGCGTGAGTATGAGAATAAAGATAAACTCTTTATAACTTCTAATGAAAAATTTATAATGAAAAGATAATAAATTTTATAATAGGAATAGTAGTAATAAGAGGAATAAATTTAAAAATTAAAAGAGAAAGGTAAATATGTATTTATCATTAGAAAAGAAAGCAATAGAACGAATTTAATAATTTAAGAATGAATTAAAATAACATTTTTAAAAGTCAAATATAGAAGAAGTGAAAAACAAGAAAGAATAATTAGACAATGAATAATATTAATCACTAATAACAAAATAATGTGAAAAGCTTCAGAAATTGAGATTAAAATAAAGTTAATTAAGCAAACCAATAAAATAGTAAATATAAATTAGAAATAAAACTTAATCATTAGTATTTGATTAAGATTTGTAATAAAGGATAGATGATAAGATTACAAGAGTAGTAAATTTAAAATCCCAAATGTTATCAGAGAGATAAAAAATAATTGGTGAGAAACTGAGAATCAGTCAGGATGATGTGAATTTCAATAAATATCATAATTAGTAATTGAAGATAAAAGAAGAAAATAAAATGATTGGAAAAATATAAAAAAATCAGAAATAGAATTCTTATTAAATTGATTTGAAATCTTAATTGTTAGAAAAGTAAAAATAAGAATCAGTTTGGGAATAAGTGAATCGTGTTAGCCATTTATTTTCAAGTCCAGTAGAATATGAGAGATATAGAACATAGATGAAATCATTATTGAATAAATAAAGAGAATCCCTTGATCCAAAATATTAGAATCGTGTAGATATAATATATAAATTGTTACCCTAGTAAATGGCAGAAAAAGTTTTATAATGATGAATTTCATATAATCTAACATAATTGTTTACAGCAAGCATCTGACTCTTCTTTTTCTTCAATAAGGTTATGATGTTTCCAATTTTCCACAAAATGAATATCAAATACTTAAAGAGAAGGATTAATTTCATCTCTAAAACATATGTGAAACTTTAATTATTTATTGATAGGATTTCCAAATTTGTCAATCCTTTCATCTTAATCTATTTCTGGATCTTCATCATCATCAAAGTTAGATCTACAAAGCTCCTGAATATTTTGTAATTAATATTTCGGTCCTCGCATCATTTTATAAATTATTATGACTTTATTAGAACGTATTATTTTATTTGAAGGAAGGGCCTAAACAGTTTTGAATATAAAATAAAAACATAATTTATTAAGAAATCAAAAAAGATCTCATTAGAGTATTTGTTGATAACAAAAATTAGAAAAATATTGATTTAAATAAAATATTAAAAGTTACTTACTTATATTTGAAAAATAAATATTTTCTTATTTTCTAAATAGACATTAAAAACTTACTAATAAATTATAATAATAAGAATAAATAAAAGAGAAGATCGAATAAAAAGAAATAGTAGATTAAAATAATGTAAAAGAATAGTACTCAATTAATAATAGTAGTGAAATAAGAATTAGTAAATAAAATAATGAAAGTATAGGTATAGATTAAGTAAAAGATTAAGATTAATATAATGTATAGTGATTTTTTGTTATAAATAATAAAAGATCATCCATCATTTAAAATTTGAGCTGATTGTTATAGTAATCCTTGCAATGAGAAAGGGGATGTAGCAACATAAGGTGATTGATTGATTATTACTCTATTGATTTATTTTTGGGGACTTGAATATGAAAGTGTAGTTTAGACATCTTTTAGTAATTATAATTCTTTGGTTTATGTATTGAGTTAACTTTTAAGTGTTTCACATTATAATCGAAGACATTTCTATTGATCATGTTGATTAGTAGAACCACAAATGCATTCAGATATTGGATTACATATAGAGACATGATTAATGAAATCTTTTTTATATGTCTGTTAGCCACATTCTTATTTAGGACAGATGAGAGTATTAAATCCACATTTTTATTCATGAATTCTTAAATCAGGATAACAAAGTTCTTCAGAACATCCATTGACTCTATTTTAACATGAGAATTTAACACTCGTATATAATTTATGAAACATTTTTGGTAGTTAAGATGTTAAGATAGTTACAACTTCACAACTAGGACAAAATCCTCTATAATTTATATCCTAAATATATTTAGTATTCTTATTTATTAGAATAGTCTAAATAGTTATTTCTATTGGTTCAGGTATCTAATCATCTGCATATGGTATGCATTTAAAACAAAAGTTTTCATGACATTTAAGACATATCAATTATTGTAAAGATAGTGATTTACAACATTAGCATACTAAATGTGGCAGAAACGTTGAAACTTTAGCATAATTTGCTATTCTATTTTCAGGCAAAGGGAAATTCATTTTATAATGATAAAATAATATTTAATATTAACAAATATATTTCAAACTCTTTTTGCTTCATCAAAATTTTTAGCAAATGTTTATGCAACTAATAAAGGAAAAACAAGAGTTGCCTCAGAAAATACTTTTACATATTCAGCATCAATTCTTAATTTACCCCAAGTTATTCCTTCTGATGGTTTTGCACCTGCATCACTTCCATCATATTAAATTCCTGTATTTATAAATACAGCCCAATCTGCACCATTTCTCCAAATATTTGCATTCATTATGTGATGTTTTACTACTCCTCCTCCTAATATAATCAACCCTGATTTCTTTGCATACATTGCTTTCTTATTTAATTATACTACATCTTATAGGATATCACATATAAATCCTTCATATTTGTAATTAAAATAAAACATCATATCTCCTATAGCCCCATCTGTTAATGCAGGACAATATACTGGTATATCATTCTTAGCACACCAATAATATATTGATCTTTCATCATTTATTCTCTCTCCAAACCTTTTTATCATTGATTATGGTGACCATATTGTGCCCTTCTCTTTTTATTCTTTGTACATCTCTTAAAATACTGGCATCAACCAATCTTCTAGTTTACCATAATTTGCTGCAGGAACATAAATATTACCTATCCTACAAATTGCTTTTAATCTTATTTCCTTATCATTTGCTTACCAATCTCCTTTGTGAAATGTTGAAATACATTTCATTAAATCTTCCTCTATTGCTCCTGCTGTAGTCACTATTGCATCAATCATTTTATGTTAAGCTAGGTATCTGATTATATCTCTATTCCCTGAAGATACCATATTACTAGTGTAACCTAAAAAAATGGTACATCTAGTATTGGGATCATCATTATCTTCATTAGGACCTAATCTCCAATGGATCATTTTATTGACTAAATCGATAGCAGTGCTTAATTGAGATGCTTGCAATCCAAAGTTAGCATATGATTTTAAGAGTGCTTCATAATCGATTCCTTAATTAAAATCATATCCTTAGATTTCAGGGGTAGTAACTGGTTCTGGTTTGAGCTTATAGAGATTTTAGTATTGTTCTTCTGCTTATTTCATAATAAATAATTAATGGTAATTAATTGCAAATAGAATGTTATAATACAATTTATTAAGAATTATGGTTCTGATCAGATTATAGTCGTTTTTTTGTTAAACTTTGCAAAAGATTAATGAATTCGTATGATGCGAGCTGTCATAAACCTTATTATAATGATGTCTACTTAGTACGTAATTTAATGATGAGCAAGACGACCAACAATAATGCAAGGACAACTAAACACCATAAATAGAATAATTCAAAATATTTGCTACATTGTACAGGTGTTCCACATGAGTGAATATTTTCTTATAATAAACAACAGGTATCACAATTCAATTTGATGCAATGATTCTACTTATACTAATTAAGATGTTATACATCTGAGTATATGGAGCATTCACTTTGATATTTGGAGCATTGATGTAATTAGTTACAACATAAACTATTACATAGATTAGCTTCTTAGGGGGAGGTGCATAACATAATAAATTAATTAAAATGATAGAGGTATCAAGAAACAAATAGATTGACAAAGTAAAACTTAGTCTTGATTCTGACAATTTCAATTATTTCTTGGCCCAATCTTTAAATAAAGTGACAAGTCATCGTTCTTTGTAACAATTAGCAAAGACTCTTGCTGATAACTTTATCTAGAATCAATTAGAAATTCGCAACAAATCCAATTAATAGCGTCAACGATAAAATGCTCTTCCATAGATCATTAGACGATCATAATAATCAATTAAAGTTACACCAAAACCTCCTCCTCGTATTGAACCTAGACCAATTTAGATTCCTTTAAATAAAGTTCCATTTATTATTCTTGAACCTTAATATTCATATCTCTTAGGTGGAGGTAATAATCATGAACTCATTAAACGTATCATGGATACAAGAAGAGAATGGCATCAATGTAAAAGTACAACAAGAGTTCATTTCAGATGGTAATAATCTAATATAGGTTACAAATATTACAAAATGAATGCCTACAATCCACATAGATCATTAGTCAATCATTTTGAATTTCATTAAGAAATTAGTAATAAAAAGAATCTACTCTTGAATATGACAAGTTTTTGTGAATCTATTCATAGAAATGTTTTTGACATTCTTCCTGTAACTTTTGTCATTGATTTCAATGATTCATAAATTGAATCTCATCTTATTGCCTTTCTTAATTATTATAATCAATATTCTACTAATCCTAAATCTTAAGAAGAACTCTTACTTAAAAAACAAGAAATTAAAAAGAAACTTCGAATTCCACCAAGTAAAGAAAGGAGATTTATTGATTATTAAATGAGAGATACTTTTTTAGGAGATGATTATTTATGGTTACTCAAACCTACAGGATTAAATAGAGGTAGAGGTATTAATGTCTTTAATAATCTTGATCAGTTTGCTGATTTACTCATTGAATATACTTCAGGAGTAAGTGAAAAACATATAGAAACTCCTAATGAAAAGATTTATCAAGGAATGATTATTAAATCTCCTTCATTTGTAGTATAAAAGTATATTGAAAAACCTTTGTTAATAAATAATCGTAAATTTGATATTAGAGTTTGGGTATTGATTGATTAAGACTTAAATTGTTATTTCTTTAAGTATTCTATAAAATATTAATAATAGAGAAGGATACATAAGGACTGCATCTGAAGAGTTTGTAACAAATGATGTAAATAATTTGTTCATTCATTTAACAAATAATGCTATTCAGAAATATAGTCAGAAATACGGTGATTAAGAGGCAGGAAATTAATTATCTTTTGATTAGATATAGAAAATCTTTAAGAATAAGATTGATTTTAGATAAACAATAGTGAAAAAGATGAAGGAGACAGCATTTTTGGTAATGAGTTCAGTAGGGAATAAAATAAATCGTAATAATCGCAAAAATTGTATGGAAATCTTTGGATTTGATTATTTTTTGGATGAGAAGTTCAATCTATATTTGATTGAAGTTAATACAAATCCATGTATAGAGGAATCAAGTCCTTTGTTGAGTCAATTGATTCCTAGAATGTTAGATGATGCTTATATTTTGACCTTAGATTCGATATTTAGTATATAAAGAGAGAAAGTGAGTCGTTTTCCAGTATTTGGTTACTAGAATAATGAGAATATGTGGTAATAGATGTTTATATTATATAGGTAATTGTTAGGATCGTTAAAAGATTAAGTTATTTACTAATGAATTTATTCGTTTTTATAATTATGAAATATTTGATTTTGAGTTTGTTTGTTTTGAATGTGTACAGCTTCTCATTGAATGATGATTGGGATGGTATGGAAGAAGCAGTGAAAGTTCAATAAGATGCAGTTTTGGTATAAAGAATAATTAAATAGGATCTAGTAGACTAGTTAGACTTATATTCAGAGACTCCGATTACATAGTAAATAGAGAATCAAGTATAATAATTAATGAATCCTCAATCTGAGAGTGATTAGGAAGTGAAAGCAGAAGATTAGAGTGAGGAGATTCATTCTTTAGAGTATTGGTTAGAGAGATTGGGAGATGAATATTAAGATGAAACAATTTTATTATAATAATAATAATAATCATAATAATAACAATCAATTACTGAATAGATAACAACTGTTGTCGGTAATTTAGTATTGAAGGTAGGTGATGCAAATTAATTAAAATAAATAGCAGAATAAACTGACATTGCATCACCTTTGATTATAGATGGAATTGAATTAGAATATTAGAATAATCAAGATATAAATTAGAATATTTAAATGTAGTAATTATTGAGTTCTGCTTTGGAAATGTAGAAATCATTAAATTAAGAAGATTAATTATAATAAAATGATTTAAAGAAAAAACATAAGAAAAAAAGACCAATTATTGATATTGATTTTAATGATTTAACTATCTCTGAAGAAGATAATGATTAAATTAATACAGATAATCTATCATCTTAATCAAATTAAAATAATGATAATACTATTGAAGTATAAATTAATTCCATTAATGAGAATGAACAATCATCCAATGATTCTATATCTAAATTCACTCCTAATGAAGATACAATTAATCAAGTTTAAGATAATACTAGAATGTTTAATTTTTTAAATGATGTTCATGATGATTCATTAAATTTAAATCAACCTAAATAATAAGTTTAACAATCTTATAATTACAAAGAATATTCTTTTAATAAATTAGATTAAGATCCACGTTCTTTTTATAATGATAATGAAGATTCTACTGTAAAAGTACTTGAAAGAGAATAAATTAGAGATTCTAATAATAATTTAGATAATGATAAATAATAATCATAAATTTAACAATAATAATAATATTCAAAATCTAGTATAAATACTAAAGATACTACTTAAAACAAAGAGACTGATTAAACTTTATAAAATTAGGATTAACAATAAGAAACTTCTATTCTCAAAAAATATTTATTATATACAGATTAACCTGAAGTTATTTCTACTGGAACTACTGATAAAGAGATTGAAGATGATAAAAGATTAGTTACTGCTTTCAAATCAATGAATAGAGATGAACATTGGATAATTAATAACAAAAAATAAAAAGATGATAAGGATTTTAGAAATGAACTATTGACATGTATATATTTTCTAATTAAATTTCTAGTTTCTAACGTTAATGAATAATCAGAATAAAAAGAATAAAAAATACCTTAATTTAAAGAAGTGACTGATAAATAAGTTGAAAATCCACATAAATTCATTTCATTTAAACCTGATCCTGAATTTGAAAAGGCTGAGAATTCTAAAAAAGATTAAGATATTAAATCTAAATAAGATTAAAATTCAAAGTCTAAATATGATGAATTACCAGAAACAAAATTACAATCTAAAGAAGAAATGAAAAAAGAAAAATAACAAAAAATATGTATTTAATATATTATAAAAAATAAGAGGAAATGTAAAGGATTATAGAGGAATAATTGAAAAATAAAACATTGAAAAAGAAATCTGATTCTGACAAATCTTTATAATATGAAAGTGAATATCTATAATGGGAAAGAGCTACTTAAGCTAAATCTTATCCTACTGAGATCAATTTTGTCATGACCAAAAATAATTTAAGAAAAAGATTATGATTTAAAACTAAAACAAACATAAATTAGCAACATCCTCCATTTTCTTTTTGTTATTATTTATTCATTCCTTATTAAAGATAAACTCCTTTAATATAATGGCCTACATTAATTCTAAGATTTCATATTTTATTACCTTACCCTAAGTAATCAAAAACTTCAAATAAACCCTTCTCAGATTAAGATGAAACTTCAAAATATTTTGCATTAGATGTATCACATAATTCATAATCTCTAATAATTGTTTTAAATGAATCATTTTCTGGTAATTATTTTAGTTCTTAAATCCATTACCTTCCTTTTTACAATGTTTATTTAATAGTGATATCATATAGTATTATTGCAACATTTGAATTTCAAAAATAAAAAGATGCTAAACTATGATATTCAGCTGTATCCTAAATATATATATATTATATATTTAATAAATTATTCAAATAGTAAAATTATTGGTCCTTTCTTTGTCTAAATTGTATTCTCTTTACAATATCCATCTTATATTTCCTATGTTTATTCAGAAAAAGAATAATAAAACCAGCGTGTTATTATTGATACTCTCCCTTCTTCTCTTCTCCTAATCTCACAACTTTATACACTCTATCCTCAAAAATTTGGTTATTTCATAACTTTATTATTTTATATGTATAAAATTTGTTATCATATACATTCATAATTCCAGATCTTTTATTTATTCTGTTGTGAATCTAAATTTTTATTATGTCTTTTGACAAATAAAATCATATTCAGTTATTTTTTATTTGAATTTGCATTTCTCACATACTATCATATTATCCTCATTATACATCAACTCTTAATTGCATGTATGAATCCACTTATGATCATTCTAACAAATTAGACATTTATATTAAAATATAGGATGATCTGATTATTCATACTATCTTTATTATTCGTTTTCTTCCTCAACAGGAGGTAACTTTTCACTATTCTTATGAGAAGAACGCTTCCTAAATCTTAATTTCATTTACTATTAACTCTTCAACTTATTTCGATTATTTCAATTACTAAAATTTATCATCACAATCAAATGAATTCTTAAAATATGGTGTATTTGGTTATTCTAAACTATGTTTCAATTAATTTGATTCTGCTAAATTTTTATTTTATGGAGAATTCCTTTCACAATTCAAATATAATTCTAAAATTTCTTTCATCTCTCCACTCAATTCCTCATAATCATCTTAATCTGCTTATCAATTTGATAAAGATAAATACCATAAGGATTTTTAATAATCTTATTAGAATTTTTATTGCTACAACAAGCACCCATAAAATAATTAATTATATATTTCAAATCATTAAATTCAATTCTGCCCCATCTACTATTCCTAATTCTTTAATTGTTTTGTTTACATCCAAGATTTAATTTCCCATAATCAATTTTACAGAGTTACTTTTAGTTTTAATTTATTAAACCAATTTAGATATTATATCTCCAATTTTTTCATGAGGTTATAATTTTTTATCAAATGTTTGTTTTTTTTAACTGACATGTATTTTTACATTTATTACATATGGAAAAACAAAAATAACCTCAGATGAATATGGAATTGGATCAGAAGAACTTAAAATATTATTCTTATATCGAATAACTATATCATCTTTCTACTTATATTTTTCAATGATAACTTATCTTAAATCTTTAACTTGTTTGTTTTCCTCAAATTCAATTTGATGTATTACACCCAATATAGAGACAGACAATTAATATTTATTTTAAGGTAATTCATTAACATGAATCTAATCCTCTAAATTTCTTTTATAATATATTATTTCTGATTATTATTTTCTTTTTTCAGTAGGTAATTTTTTTATTTATCTCAAATTAAGTTTCAGCTTTCCATCTCTTGCTAATTCTCTTAATATTTAATCATCTTTTACTACTTAATCATCTTCTAATAATAGATCAAATGAACTCCTTATATTTAATTGTTATCTCAAATCTTGGATTGTTAATTGATTGTCTAATTCAATATCTTATTATTAATTATTTTCAATAACAATTATTTTAACGAATGAAGAAGTCTAAATAATTTCATACTCAATTGTATCCATATCATAAAACTCGATGTCTTAAAAAGTAAGATCTTATTTAATAGGTTTGTTTTTAAAAAAAAAATTACAATTATTCACTTTTAAATGATCATAAAGAATTGAAATCATTGAATTAAAATAGACTTCAAAATAATTGTGTTCTTTATTTATTTTATTTAATGTTCCTACATTTATTAAATCCTTTACTTCTATTTATAATTCTTAAATATTTAAGGTTTTAATTTAAATTTCTTTATTTATTGGATCTACTTAATGTTTTATATAGCATTCCACAGGTTAATTTTTAGGATAAGAATTTAAAAATAAAAATTCTTTTTAAAATTATTCAATTTTTTGATCTAAGTCTAAACTAAAATCAACATATTATTTTTTATTAATAAAATATAACTTTATTGATTGATTTTTGCCAGATAATTGATCCTATTTTAAAATAACTACTTTGTAGGGTTTCTAAGATGCTGCCCATAATTTCTAATTCAATAAAACACCTTAAACATTTTAATTTCCATATTCCAATTCAATTAATTATTAATCAGCTATTTAAAAATGATTTCTCAAGATATAAAACAAATCTATTACACATTTATCTCTATCAACTATAACTTCAGAAGCATTTCCATTATGCCATACTTACAATTTAATCTATAAATGTTAATACAATATTAAAGCGTTCTAAATTTTTAATGCAGCAAAAGTTTATTCTATATTCTCAATTTCTTGATTATTAATACTTACCCATACATCTTTAGTTTTCTTTCCAATCAATTTGTATATGTATTCTGATAATAATTCATTTGATTGTACTAAAAATTCTTTTATATCATTTTATTCAAGATGTTGAAATTTAATTAAAATTTAATCTCCCTGTAATGGTTGATGTTCAATTACAGTATCATTTTGAGTGATTTACAATTAACGAAAAGTTTATTTTTTATTAATTAATTAACCTTAATAATAATATTCCATTTATTTATTTAAAAATACCTATTCATCTATCACAGAGAATTAATCATCTAAAGAAATTTTCATTTTCTTTTTAAGATCTGGTTTCTCTTTGTGTTATAGACAAATTTGTATATATTGAGGCGTTTTTGACATAATTAATTATATTACACAATTATTTGTAAGATTATAATGTTTAATTGTATTATTATGTTATAATTCTATTCCATTAAACATCAATTTAATATTCATATGATTTTAATTAAGATTAAGAAAGGATTTTAAAATTAAATTTATTAATGTTTATACTTTTTCTTCTTTGAGTATAGTAATTTATTGAGTATCTTCACCATTGACAATTGAAACAGTTACTTATTTAGTATCTTGTATTTCTTAAATTTCAATGATGGTATATTTTAATTCTGTATCAGGATTCACATGATAATAATGGAATGGATTATTGCCATCCATCTAATCTAGTTATATCTTTTGACTAGGAATATTTATCTTGTCACCAATCATTTTACATAAATCTGATATTGAAATAGTAACATCAATTTCTAGTTTAAATTATTGTTTATTGTATATAAAATAATTATGTGAAAAGACTTAATAATTTAAAGTTCTCTATGCAGCTAATTCTATCAAATACTTATCCTTATTTAATTATTTGTTATTTGTGGTAAAAAGAATTGAATAGTTAGAATTAAATGTTAATTAATTTAGAAGAATAGAATTTAATTGATTAACAGTAGCAGAGATATCACATTTTAATTAATAGCTTCCTAATTTTTGATTGTTTACGCTAAATTCAATTTAATCTGTAAATTCAATTTCAGCTTCAAGATTATTTGAAATGTTTGCTTATTAATCTAATATTGTAGAATTATCTTAGATTTCTCCTTTAAAAAAGAACTTGAATTTTGATACATTATCTGATAATTTTAAATAGGTAATCAAAACGTTTATGATATCAATAACTTTTGATTAAGGTTTATACTAGAATTAAAATTTAATGGGTGTATTCTTTAGTTTAATATCCATTATGTAATGATCCATTAAATTAGTAAATTTTGATAATTATATTAATAAATAAATAAATATATTGAGTATATAAATGAATTTGATAAAATGATAATATATGTAGAATATATTAATTAATTAATTAACTGTCAAAAAATGCTAGTTCAATAATATCGATAATTACCTGCACCATAAAAAGAACTTCCTTAAAATTTAAATTAGGCTCATTTTGAGTAAAGGATGAGATTTTAACAATAACAAATTCAAGCAAGAGTGATAGAAGAGAGACCTAATTTTTAAGAGATGTAAGGAGGATAACCTCCTATAAAACCATGGTTAGGAGAAGATGTATATATGGTAGCATTTTTATTATCAGTGGAAAATGATAGATTGAGAGAAGAGAATGGAAGGGTTGGGGAATATGTAAATTAGAATGAATTAAGATTTAAAGGAGTTGATTTAATTGAAGGAGAATTAATTTAATTAAGAAATAAAATAGGAGATTATGAAAAAAAGATTGCTTAACTCTAATATGAGAGTGAATAGTGGAGAGTGAAATTTGTTAATAGGGAAAAAGAAAGTGAAGATTAAAGATATTAAAAAGAATTATAAAGAAGAATTTAGATAGATAGAGAAATAAAAGAATTAACAGCAAGATTTATATCAGATAGAAATCAATTAGAAAAAGAAAATAGATAATTAAGAACAGAATTAGATAGTCTTAAACTTTCTAAAAGTAGTGTAGATGATATAATGAAATAAGCAGATATAGTATAGAAAGAAAATCATAGATTAAAATAGGAATTAGATAATCTTAGGTATTTTTAATTAAACTATTTTATTATAGAAAAGGTTTTGATGAATTAGAATATGTACTTAAAACAGCAGCAGATTTGGAAGCAGAAAATACAAATCTTAAATAATAGATAGAGAATATATAGTCTTAATTTTAACAACAATAGTAATAGCAAATTTAACCAATCTAAAGAGGAGTTGTTAATTCAACAAATTTATGTATAGATAATTTAACATTAGAAAACTCGCATAATTTGGAATCGGAAAACAAGAGATTAAAAGATGAAAATGATAGATTGAAAGTTATGCTAAATTTAGGCCAAACTTCTAGACCACAACCATTTATGTGATTTATATATCTACTTATTAAATATTAATTATTTTAGTTTTTATTCAATTCACAATCTCAAATTCGTCTTCTGCATTAAAAGATATTTATGAAAATTTCAACTCATCATTTAGGAATTCTCCTTCTAAAAAAATTGAAACATTGTTTAAACCATATTTATTTTAAAATTCCTAAATGAATGTTTTTATTTAAGTGTTCTATTATATATATTCTATATATTTTCTTTCTTAATCAAACAATACTATCTGCATAACATTCTAATTCATTTTGTATATTAGTTCTATCTCATTATTTCCATTAATTAAATCCACCAGCAAGGAATTATCTTATAAAGGATGCTATTAATCATTTATTTTAAAAAGTTAATAATTATTGTTCATTAAATTTTCCTACTATTTTAAAGTTTAGATATCCATATCATTATTTACAACAATATTCCTAATTTCATTATTAATATGTAATTTTATCTTTTTAGAAATTTCTTCAATCTCTAAAGCAGAATTTTCAATCACTCCTATTTCTTCTAAAGTTCTATCCTAATTAATTTCATTATTTTAATAATATATTTTTAATCTATTAAAGTTTCTCTATGCAAAAATTTCTTTGATCTTATCAAATGGATTATAAAAATCAGAAAACAAAAATTCTTTTGTATCATAACTGATGAATTAAATTTTCAGTTAAACATAGTAAAACAATTAGCCATTATCTTAGATTTTTTCATCTCTAAATGAATTTAATTTATTCACTTAACAATTATTGAATAATAATAAGCTTTTTTCACTTATATGATTTTGAATATGATCATTTATTATTTCTTCAGGATAGAATTCTATATCTTACGAGTTAAGATTATTATTGTATTCAATTAATTATACATGTGAAGTGTGTTCAATTATTATTATTGTCTGTGGTTCTAGAATTAGCTCATTTAACTTAGTCTCTTCATCTAATAAATTATTCTCAATATAACACCTTGATTTTTTATCTGCTATTATTTACATCATTTCTTTTAAAGTTAGATTCTTATTAAATTTTTAATCAATTATTATTTATTAATTTTAAATTTTATATTTGACATCTATATTCTATCTTGAAACTCTAATTAATTTTTTTAAGTATGTTGAAATTTCTTCCTCTTCATCTAAATTTCTATAATCCTCATCTACAATATCTACTTCATCCTCATAAATCTCCTTTAAATTAGATTTTATTTATTTCACCTTATCTGTTTCAAAGAATTTCTGCTCTGCCTAATGGATATTATTTTACAAAATAAATTCGAACTTAAACTAAATTTCTTTACTTATTATAAATATTGTATTCTTTGGATAATCTTTCAGAAGATCTTATTCATCTAAATTTTTATTTTCACATAAAACTTTGATATTATCATTAATTTTATATTTTTTAATTACTTACTACTTTAAATCTTTTACTGTGGCTAAATAATCTATGCGTATTTATTCAATTTATGGCCAATCTTCATTGTTAATTCTAATCTATATTTATACAACAATATCAGAAAAAAAACAACGTATTTTATCTCCATCTTTTATTTACTGTTATCCAAAGGTTTCGTTCAAATCAAGTTTTTAACCTTATTTGTAAGCTGTTATTCTAATTTCATTATCAGAAAATTTCTTCTTTATTTCTAAATTTATTAAATCTTGAGGTGTGACTTAAATTGTAGTAAAATTAATGTCATCATCATATAATCTTACATTAATTAATTAAGACTTTGTAGCTGAATATTAAATTTAATAGTTATTGTTATTAAATTTAATTTAATCAAATATTAGATTATTTGTGATTTAAAGTTTTTAACCATCTACAAAAAACTCACATATCTTTCCCTCAAAATTTTTTAGTCTATAAATAGAAGAAAAAAAATCTAAATTTGATACATTATATGAAAAATTATTTTATGGCTTTTCATTATCTATAAATTGAATTTACATAGACTTTTCTACTATTTAATTTTCCATTTTAAATTATATTGTTTTTGATAAATCTAAACTATGAATTCTGATATCATCTTATAAAATCTTATCATTAAATTTTATTAATAGCTTCTAATTTTAATGTATTGAATATATTTATTAAAATTATTAAAGTAAATCCTTAATAGTAATATTAACAGACACACTATAATTATAATTCGTTTTCTTATACTAGATTTATATATTTTACTTACACTTAATACTTAAGACCAATTCAACAGAATCAGGTATTTTTTATGAAAAATAAGTTTATTAATCTTATAAGATTTTATTTTAGAATTATAAATCTATTTCTTCTTCAATGCCAAATTTTTGTCTCACTTTTTATTTAATTTAATCAAAATGAGAAAAAGCATCTATTTAAAACAAACAATATTGATTCTTATACTTAATGTAAAATTTAACTAGTACAACATAAAATATTTCTTATTAAAAAATGAAAATTTAACAGAGTAATAAGGTCTTATCAAAAAATTGATTTTTTTTCATAATTCTAATTATGTATTGTTGACAATCTAATTTTTGTGCAATTTATTTTTCTATTTCAGATAATTATTTACATGTATCAGCTTTTTCTAAGATGATTTTATGTTCTTTATCTTTACTAAAATGCTAAATCATAAAATTTTCTATTTCATCTGAAAAATCAACATAAATGATAGGATTTTGAATATCTTTGATCAAAAATTTTCTATCTCTTTTTTGATTATCAACAGTGATTTCAACTTTGGCTTTATTAGGAAACCCTTTTATTTAATTTACTTGCTGAATCACATCATTAATAGTGGAGGATGAGGATTTAGATTAAAATTCAATTTTGAATTGGTTTTTATTGACTAAGACATTTATTTTCTTCATATTAGAATTTAATGTTTATTTAAAGTTTTTAATAATATATAAAAATATTCATTTAATTTATAAAATATCTTAGTTATCAATATATTTACCAATGATAGATTATAAATTATCCATTTCAGATGATTTAGGAATAAGTCTAAGAATTTTGATTGGTTGAGAATATTTACAAATTTGAGTAACTTATCCATTCTCAAAATCCCAAATCTTAGATTTTTTTTATTAATAAAATATAAGTGTATTATCATCTTTACATTATTATTATATTTTATTAGTGATATCAGTTAGATTATGTTCTAATCTAATGCATTTTTTAAATTACAAATATGAATTTTTATAATCACTAGAATATAATAAAAATAGAATACTTAGTATCTTTATATGGATCAAGTGATTAGTTTTATAGATCATTTAAAAATGAATTGATTTTGGGTATAATTTTTCTACTTGAATCAATAATTCTAACATGATTGTTTAAATCAACAAGCATGGAATCTCTTTTTTCAAGTATAAGACCATACATTTTGCTTAGAATAGCACTAAATGTAATGGATCCAATTTTATCTTCAACAGGAAACCAAGTTTCAATAATACCTTATTCTGCATCATGATGTAATTTATGTTTTTCCATAAAAGCTTAGAATAATTTAGTCCATGATTCTGCTCTAATATGTCCAAGAACAGCAATTTAAATAGGTGATTGATTTTCTTTTTTATATTTGATAAGGGTTTTGAGAAGTTCAAGAGTGTCATCATTTTCATAATCTATTAATAAGACGAATAATATTTAATCTTATTTTCTAGTAATTTCTTCATTTCCTAAACTTTTAGATACAGACATTTCTTCATAAGGAGGTTTTCTTTTTTCAGCATATGGAATTTTACCATATTATTAATTGAGAATCTTTTCAACAGCTGGTATATAATTAAAAAAGTTATGTATCATTTAATTAATTTTTAAAGTAACAGGATCATCAGATGTTTAAAATTGATTTAATACTTTATCTCTAGCATGAATCCATTATTTGACTTATGAAATGTATAGAGTTGATTTATAATAGGGTATAAGTGTTGATTATTCCCAAGATTAGATTTAAATTAGATTTTCTTAATAATTAATTTAAATTTTTATTTATTTTTCAAGTGCTACTTCAATATTAAGATTATTTTCTTATATCTTTTACATTAAAGATCTTTTAAGAATTTAAGAATCCCAAAGAATACATTATGATCCAAGAGGTTAAATAAAAGATTAAGTTAATTGTTAAGATTGTGGTGAACAATGTACTTCTATGATTGGATTATTATATATAATAGTTTTTAAATTCTTCATATAAATAGTTTTCTTAGTAATACTTATATTAATATTTCTTGTGAATGGTTATTAAGTTTATTAAGCTAAGACAAATTTCTTAATTTAAGAATATTATTCTTTATTAATACTACTAACAATATTAGTTTATTATTTAGTTTAATATTCTTTAACTCCTTGATTAATTAAACTTGTTACTTCATTTGCTACTTCATCTGAATCTGAAAATATTTCCCATTCATAATTATATCTTTTCCATATTAATTTATTCCCATAAAATAATAAAGCACTAACCAAATATCCTTCCATTACTTCATTTATACTTTCTTAGAAATAGATATCTAATATTTGATTATCTAAATTTTCTATTTCTTCTGTATTCAAATATATATGTTAATATTATTCCCATCTATGATTTGATCTAACTAATTCTTCATATACTGATTTCTATTCTAAATTTCCTCTTGTCAAACCTATTAATTACATATCAACTTATTTCAAAGAATCAATTAAATCTATAGCATGTTCAAAATTAACCATTTATTCACCTTAACTCCATGATTTTATTAGAGTATATTTTCCATCTTGTAAATTCAAAACCTGATCTTCATCTTTCAAAAGCTATTAAAATTTTATTTAAGGAAAGGTATCACCTAATTCCAGACCACTTTTGAATATCATTTTTTTATCAATCATACATTTATCCTATTCGTTAGATTCCCCTCTTAATTATTTCAATTCTTCATTAGCTCTTCTTAACTTTATTATATTTGTTGGTTTCACTGTTCCTTATATTGTAATCACTTTTGTATTATTCTACTTACCAATCCTAAAAGTTTAATCTTATATAAATGAATATTATGTAGATTTGATAATCTAATAACTATCAAATTCATTCAAAATTCCCATAATCTTTCTAATATTACCACTTTTTGACTCTCTTTGTTTTGTAGGAGCAACATCTCCCATTATATCAGGAGTGGTAGATTATTTACATTATTAACAGTTTCCCATTATATAATATTAATTAATAATAACAATAATAATATTAATTAATATTAATTACTAATAGTTAATAATAATTAATAATAATAATAATAATCTTTTGTTTATCACTTATATAACAATAGTTTACTTTAAATAACTATACCAAATAATACCATACAGTTCCATCTTTATAAAATAATAAATAAATTATTTTATGGTTTAAAATAAATATGTCAGAAAGTGAAATTTCATTTGATTTTAATGAGGATGAACCTGTGGAAGAAGTTAAATCTTCTTAAATGTTAACAAAACAAGAGAGATAAATAATGCCATTTTCTAAAAGTGATAAAAAAGATAAAAAAGAAAAACTAAAATAATTGTAATTTACGATGCAAGGATAATTATCAGGGAAATAATAAATGACAAAAGATCTGTTATTCTTATTGAAATTTGAATAGCATATGTTAAGTTCAATAAATAGTTTACATTCAAGAATAATGAGATCATTGGAGAGTGATAATCCAGGAAATTGAACTAATTTTATTATACATTTATTTATTAATTCAATCTTTTTATTAAATTTGATTGTCTTCTTCCTTTTATACTAATTGCTATTATTTATCCTATTTTATTTATTTTTATTATTTTTCAACTTCCATTTCATCAATTTCAATAGTCACTGGTCCATCATTTACAATATTAACTGCCATGTATTATTAGAAGGCTCCCATCTTAACTTTTTCTGGTTTATAAGCTTTGCCACATTCATCAACAAAATATTCATACAATTACTTTTTTTAATTTAAATAAGATACTCTTGCTTTTTCAGCATCCATGGCATAATGAAAATCAGGTTTATTACCTTTCATATAAGCATATAATGTGAATTAAGAAACAATTAGAATTTCATAATTAAAATCTACACATGATCCATTCCATGCTTTATTTTCTTTATCCCATAATCTAATTTTTGATAATTTATGTGCTAACTTTTTAGCAACATCTTTTGTATCTCTTTCATGAATCTTAATATATATATATATATGTATTAATACTCCTAACAATACTACTAATCCTTTTCCTATTTGTGATACTAATTAATCTCCAACTGAGACTGAACCACTCAAACATCTTTGAATTATTAATCTCATTTGTTTATTTATTAAATGGAAGAATAAGTAAAAAAACTATAAAATATAGTTGATCATCTTTAGAAGAAAAGCAAATAGGTAAATTCAAAATTATTAATGGAATGTTATGAAGTCTTTTCTGAATGCATTTTAATTGTTTAAAGAGAGATTAATTTAGATCTTGGAAATGTTATGGATAAACTTTTCATTATTATTAGAGATATGGTTGAGAATTCTTAATTTAAAATACCATCTAATACAGAACCTTAATAAATTATTGTAGCTACCAAAATTCCTGAATTTGTTAATGCCTTATAATTAGGAAGTGTATCAGTTTTAGATCAATTAGGTAATGTTGAATAAATCAAAAATATTCATCAAATACCATGGTGTGATTATAAATGTAAAGAATAAAAGCCTCGTAATTTTAAAGGTGTTTAAGATGTAGGCACTAGTACTATTATTGATTATTATGAAAATTGTTAGAAGTCATCTACTTAAATATTGAAGAATGAAGAAGAAATTAGAGAATGGTTAGAATTTACTAATGATACTATTGCGATGTTAGGTGATGCTATAGCTAACAAAAAATAATTAGATATAGAATATTAAGGTAAACCAGGAGATGTTGATTTATTAATTTCAGACATATAATTTAGAAGATTAAATTTAGAATAAGTATTAAAATCAGTGAATCCTGAACATTTTGGAGTATAATACTTTGATTAAACTGTTTCATTTCTTTAATAGCATATATTATAAATTTAATAATAAACTGCATTAGCAGTTATTTCAAAGATGAAACATCGCCAAGAAGAAAAAGATAAGTAATTACAAATTATTAATGAGATGAAAGGAAAAATCAAAAAAAAAGTTATGCATAAAGAAGATTGTCGTTGTGCATAATATGTTAATGATATATTATCACTTAAAAATAAATTAGAATAAACTTAAACTGATCTCGCTAAAAAAGAACATTATATCCTAGAATTAGAAATTAAAAATGATTAAAAAGATATTTAATATAGAATGTTACAATAATCATTTTATTAATTAGAAAGTGATAGAACAGACTTAAAACAAAAATTAGATAATTATACTAGATTAAAAAATAATGATAGAGGTTATATATCTTAAAGTAGTAATGATGAAGTTGTTGTAACTGGAAGACAAGTTCTACCTAGAACTACAAGTAGAGATTAATCATAATAATAATCTTCCAAATAGTAGATTCTACTCTCACCTAAAGAAAATTACAATATATAAAAGAAAACATAATAAATGGAAAGATTGGTTAAATTAGTTAATGCTTTGGATGTCACTAATTAAACTCGCAGATTAACATAAATGCAATTCATTCTAGAATAAAAAGGTATCTCATAAATTAATGATCTTGCTGATCTTATTAAAGATATTGAAGAAAATGATTTATTATAGAATGATATTATTGACAATAGTTCTCTTACTAAAGAGATAGAACCTATTTCATCTAAATTTTTAGATAAATAATCTAAATAATATACTACATAAAGAAATTCACTTTAAAATTCATTTGAAATTGAAATGAATCTTGATAAACCTATTATTAGAGTTAGTATACCTACTGAATAAGTTTCTTCTTAAAGATAAATTCCAAGTAATAGAATTATGTCTTCTGTTGGAGGATCTTAAAATAAATAAGAATTTATAAATACTAATTATCATCCACGATAAATGGATACATTAAAAATTTTTAATTCTTCATCTAATTAATTATCTCCAAATTAATCCAAAAAAAGAATGAAATCATCTTAAAACATAAATATTAATAGATAAAATTCTATCAAAAATTAATAATAATAATAATAATAATAATAATAATAATAATAATAATAATAATAATAATAATAATAAAAATCATCTGATAAATCTAAATAATAATAATAATAAATTTATACTAACAATTTAATAGATTAATATTAATAAACTGATCATCATTTTCTTAAAATAGAGGTTTCAACTTAAACAGAAAAAAATCCAAATAGATAAACAACAGAATAATTTGATAATATTAGGATTATGGGAACATATAATAAAAATAATTCTTAATAATTAACAACTAGTAGTACATTTCACTTTAATTCTTTAGGTAATATTGGTAATGTTATTACACCTATTTAATCAAATAATAATTCTAATGTTCAATCTCCAAGAAATTAAATATAAAATTAACATCTTAATTCAACTTTAACTGGATCTTTTCCTTCACCTAATTTAACAACTAAAAAAAAGAAACTTTAAAGTGTTAAATCTGAATCTGAAAATTCTCAATAAATAGGACGTTAATTATCATTGCATACTTTTGACAATTAATAATCTTAATAAACTCAATCTTTAAAATAAAGAATATTAGAAAGATAGGAAGAGAAACATTAGAAAATTAGTCATCGTAAAATTTAAACTAGCACAGGTACTTAATTATAAAGTTTGTCACCTAGAGAAAGTAGCTCATTAAAAATAAAAACTAATGATGATATGAAACTATAAAATTATCAATAAGATTAAGAAGATGAATAATTAATGTATAATTAAATATTACATGATTTTCCTGAATAGCATGAATAGGAAATCATAACAAAAGCAATTAATAGAACACCAGGTTATGAATTGGCCCCTGAACTCACAGAAAATATATTGATAACAATGTTTTAAAATCTTTAAAATACTCCTGAATTCATCTAATTGATTCAAAAAGCAAATAAGAATTAATCAATTACTTTAAATGAATTTAAAAGGTTTGTCAATAGAATGTAAGCATTTCATAAAAAATGTGGAAGAGAGTGTAATCATTTATAAAGGTATAATATATTTTATGGATATTTTAAGATTTTATTTGAGATTAGGATTCGTTTCAACTAAGTATTTGAACAAACGTAAGTAACTTAAATTATCAAAACCTACAGTTCTGCCAGGCTTCAAATGATTTCTTTTTCACAATCATGAAAATACACTCTTACTTTAAAAAGTATTCATTTTTATTTAATTATTTAATCAAGCAAAATTATATTCTTTTATAAATTAATAGAGTAATTGAAATCATTTTTTTTTTAACCGAGGTAACTCTAATTTTTGTTTGATAAATTATTTCGATTTTATTGAATTTTCATTCAATGCTTATTCTATTGTTTTAGGTCTCACTGTGGTTTTTTGTTAAAAGCACTTTTTGAAAGAAGACATAGTATATTTCTAATCTTCTTGAGTGTTTAAATTCTCAATTGAAGTCTTTGGCTTTGATTTTGATTTTTACCTTTATTTCTAATCTTTGGGACTAGTAGATCTTAAATTTTTTATTTTTTGATTATTTGACAATACTCTTTATTTTTATAATTAAGGATTGGGCAATGATTAATACTGTTATTATAATTTTATCCTATCACTTAATTTTTATAAGATTTCATCATCAGGATAAGGTTAATGGATAGGACAATTCCTCATAAGATATTATAAAAAGAAGAGTAATTTAAAAGACTAGAATATATAAATATCATTAATACATTTCGAATTTATTGGTCTTTTATAAATTAAGAGATTTGTTCATTATATGTTAATGGTATTTTATCTTAGAAATTACGAGTGATCCATGGATGAATTAATGCCTATCCAACACTATATCTTTCTATTGGTTCAATCGTAGTTAATTTTTAAATAAGATCTTTTGCAAGAGGATTCATATGATCTGAGAAATGCCATATTGGATTCATTATTTTTTTAATTACTTGATCTCTTGTTTCATTTTTATTATAAAAGGGATGCTAACCAGAATTCAATAACATGTACATAATAACTCCACAACTCCAAGAATCAATTTATTTGCTATACTATCTATTTAATGCAATTGAATACAAATTTCTCTTTAAATTATTCAGGTGCCATGTAAATAATGGTTCCACATTTTTTATTTAGTAAGCTGTAAAACATGCCTTCAGATGCAAACTTGAAACTTAACCCAAAATCAGCAATTTTAACACTTCTTATATCATTTGTAGCAAACATAATATTTTCTGGTTTTAAGTCTCTATGAATAATTCTCTTCTCATGTAAATAATGAACTGCTAAGAGAATTCCTTTCATTATAATTGCCAAATCCTCATCAGTATGCTCTTCCTTCATTCTCTAAGCTAAGGTTCCACCTTTCATTAATTCCATAATTAAAAAAAATTAATTCTTATTTTCTGTTATCTTCATAAGAATGCTAATGTACTCTTTTGCATTTCACGATATGAGGATGATTTAACTACTAATAAATATCTGACTCAACTTATGCATCTTTGAAAAGTGTTTTAGAAACAACCTTAATAATTACAACAGTATTTAACCTTCACTGCACATTCTGTATTATCTGTTAAGTCTATAGCTTTATACACTTTTCCAAAGCTACCTTCTCCAATCTTTCCAATTTCCTTTATTTTGTACATCTCTTCTAAAAAATCTACATCTTCTCCTTAGAACATTTATTTTATAATTAAATTTAATATTACTAAAATTGAGATCTGACTAATTAAATTAAATATAGGAATATATTTATCAAATCAAACTCTAATTTCTATGGTAAAATATTATTATATTTACTACTAATCTAAAAACAATTTCCTCCAATAGTATCTATACTTATTCTTTATAATCCTGTTTGATTATTTTATAAAAAGATTAGTATTGATTGGTATTTTATTAACGTTTATTCTTTATTGACAAATCTTTTATTTTTCTAAAACTTCTCAATTCAAACTAAACTTATCCCTTCAGTATAATGAACTAATTTTTAATCTTAAAGTAAATTTAAGAAATCTAATTTTATTATATATATCTCTAATCTTGATTATTCAAATAGAAGTTCTAAATATTTTTTTTTTATAACTTCATTTTAAAGGAATTCTCTGAATCCATAAATAAAATAGAAAAGGAAGGGATAATTATTTAATTTTATATTAATCTTGCTTGATTAATTAAATTAAAAGGTTTATATTTAAACTTTATAGAAAACTTAAAGATACAAAGACTCGAAATTCAACTAAATTCGAACTTATGATGGTATATATTCTTGTTTTCTATATATTATTAATATCAAGAATGACTTAATCAAATAATTGGTATTCTAAAATTAATAAAATTGTTTTTTAATTTAATATATCATTCTTGCCAACCATAGCATATAAAATATTTTAATGTCTTCATTTACTATGATTAAAATAACTCCTTTTTATTTCAAAAACATTTTGGAAACTAAATCTAATAGATCTTCTGGCTAATTAAATTATTTGTAAGATCGATATTCATTTTATAATTTTGTCTTGTTGAATATAACTTTCTACATTTTTGTCACTTAAAATTAAAAGTCATTATAAATCTTTACACTTTTTTGATAAGGGAAAACTTAAATTTAATAGTTTTCATTGAGATACTTGTAATCAAGATCAAAAATTGATCATAAAATAATACTTTTAAATTATTATTTACAGATTAATATAATTAATAATATTAATTATAAATTAATGAAGATAGATATCATAAATGAATAATGGCTTTAGAATATTGATATTCTAGAAAATCAAATTCAAAATATAGGTTTTGATCTTAAAAATTCATCTGATTATTAATCAAAGATAAATACTCATCTGAAAATTAAAGTAAATACTTCAATATAGAGGAAAGATGATAAGAAATTGTAAATTTAGAATATTTATTTCAAATATTAATGTTTAGAAATATACATTTAATTGCTTGCTAAACTTGATCGGAACCTTTATCTTATAATAGTAATAAAGGTTACTTAAATTCCTATTTGTAATATTATTTCACATTTTAAATAAACTTTAATTCATCTTTATTTCTAAATTATTCAATTAAATTTATTATTTGATTAAATTCACTATGATATGTAGATAAATCTTTAAGAATTTAATTTTTCTCAATTTAATAATCAAAAGGTTCATTTGACAAACAGTTTTTAATTGAGAGAATAGTATTCAAACTAGGAAAGAACTAACCCTATAGTGTATTTTGGTTTATGAATTCTTCTAATCTCTCTAAATAAAGTCTTAATTGTTCTGCCAAACGCCATAATTCTTTAAATGTGTTCTAATTTAGTTTTTAAATTTGAAGCAATAATACTAAAGATTCTTTTATTCTTTATCTAGTAACAAATAAATTAGGAACATCTTGAGTCTCATAACTTTAAATTTAATCAGTAATTAATTATGATAACTTCCTATTCTCATTTACAATATATTTTACTTAGAATAATCAAAATTAATATTTTCTAGATCTGATTTAGCAGCAAAATATAATATTCTTAAAAATGAAAAAATTTCACTATTTATAGAAACATCTGATTCTTATTATTTTGGTAATTTTAATTAACTTTATAAATTATCAGAATTTTTAAATTAAATATTATAAAGTGTTTCTTTATCTTAAGGTAATATGAAATTAAATTTTAAAAGTTCTAATTTAATTTCCTTTTCTTGTTATCTATGAAATTCAATAATCCTTTCAATCAATAATTTGAGTTTGGCAGATCGTAGATTGTCCAAAACTAAATTTAAGTCTGAGATAATGTTACAATCAACCTCTTTAGATAAAAGTTTTGTTAATTCTTTTTATTAATAATTTATAAACTTTTATGAGCAATCATCTCTATAAATCCATTGAAGTTTTTTAATAATTTCAAATGTAGCTAAATTTAGACATAAGACATTTTATTTGGATTTAGAATTGGAATTATCTAAAATCAATAATATAATTTCAAATTATTTTTCATTCAATTTTAATTTATCTTCCACTTAAATATTTCTATCATTAATACTTTATTTAATGATATTTAAGTATTCTGACAATTCATCAAATAGAGAAATAATAAAATTTAAGCAATTTGTAACATTTTATTTTTCTTCTTAAATGAATGATGATATATAACCATTTAATATCTTTAACATCATTTAATTATCTTGGGTATTGTTAATTAATATAAATGTAAAAAGTAATTTTAAATTAGGATCAACCTCTTTAATCAAATGAAAGTAAAGATGTTAAGATAATTTTTTTGAATAATTTATAATACTCTATTATAATTATTCTCCTTTTTGATCAAATTTCAATAAATTATGAAAATCTATAATTGATTCTAAATAAAATTTATTCAAAAGATCTTAGAGATCGATAGCTGGTTAGATGTTGATTTAATCGGATTAATTTTCTAGAGAGAGATTTAATTCTTTCTTTTTTTGCAAAACCATATTCCATAATTTCAAATAGAGTTATTAATATTCCTATTTAGCTTTTTAAAGTTCAGCCTCTCTATCATTATTAGAATATTTAGTTTCTAATTATTTGATAAATCGATTTTATTATTATTATTCTTGCTATATCAAAAATTGACTCCATTCTTTAATTTTAGGAACTCTTATTACTATATTTTCAATGGCCATCACTTATGCAATAGTTTTGGCAGCACTTTCAATCTTATTAAAAAGTTAAATTTTAATAGTTAATTGGGAATGCTAACTTATATTCTATTGTGAAGTATTTCTATTGATTTATGAAATGAATACATATTTGATTCATAAATTAGTTTCATGAGCAAATTTATTATAAAAAATAATAGAAAAATAGAATAAAATATAAAATAATATCAATAAAATTAAATACATTATAGTATAAATGAAGATGAAGAAAACAGAAAATAAATTTAAAATAAAATGTCTAAGTACAATAATAAAATAAATATATTATATATATATATAAATATATGAATTCTGATAAATTATGTTGAACAATTTAAATAAATTTAAAATAAATCTAATAAAACATTTATTACCCTATAGGTTGAAAAAACTGAATAATTTATAATAAAAGTAAAATATATTATATAACTCGATGTAAACAAAAAATATAGTCACTATACTGATTTTCTTGAACATATTCAGCATTCAGAATCATGTTCATCATTAAAGTCACTTGATCTGAATCCATTTTATCCTTCATAAGAATGATCTTCTGGTAGAGAATTCATGTATCTATACTCACTAAAAGATAGTTAAATTAAAATTACCTTCCCATAACTTCATCCCATCTATAACGAAGGTATTTGTAATACCGATTCTTAACCATGCTGACACTCTTGCCTGGAAATGATTTTGATATTTTATAAAACTTCGGTCCTATCTTAAGAACGAGTTCTAAAATTCTTTTATCTTCAATATTAGAAAAAGGATGAGCATTTGATTTAGGTTTCTCCATTACAAGGCACACCTTCAATCCATTTTCTTTTATGTGAATAATCGGTTTTGGAGCAGGGCGCTTCTTTTTCTTATGATAAGTGTATTGAATTCTTTTAGGAGGACGTCTTCTTTGAATTGGAAATTTTATATTTTGAATTTACTACTCTTATGGAGTTGATAAATTCGAATCTAAGAAAATTCTTATGATATTATATACCTGAATCTACACAATAGCTTTATACTTAATCAGACAAATGTAGTGTATTTGGAGAACTAGAAAAACCAAACAGTTCAAGTTCTTCCTCAAACTTATCTACTTTTTGATCTTCATATGTATCCACAAAGTTTATCATTTATATTTTTTTATGATTATTAATGTTTTTATTTTTATTTTTATTGCAATTTATAGAGTTGAATTGCAGTTTTAATGACGATAGCTAATATCTTGATAAATCATTTTACTCATTTAATACTATTTACTTCATTATAATATCTAAATCCTTAAATATCCAAAAATATTTTTGTAGTTTTTTTCTATTTTCTAAAATCCATTCATTTTATCATTTATATCTGCTTATTCAAAGTCAATAATATAAAATTTATTGTTATTTATTTGATTATAATCAATCAATAAACTTCAACTTTGTTTCTATAGAATAGTCTGAATACTCTGCCATTCCTTTAAATCTGATGATAACTTTAATATTCAATTCAATTTGATAATTTAATTATTGAAATCTGATTTTTCTTAAGAAACAATAAGCAATTTCTTGTATATTTACCAAATTCGAAAAAACTGTATATTTATATTACCATAAACATAAGTTTATTTGCAATTTTTATTAACTTTGGTTCAATTTGCATGACAGTTATTTTTTTATAATACATAGAGTAATTATTAAGATTACAAACATATATGATGAAAAAATTATCCATTACAATTCAGTAATCAATATGATTCAATAAAGTTCAGATATTTTTTAAGGGATTCTAATTTTCTAGATAATTTATGTCAGTCAATTTCTAATAAAAATTACAGGTTTTAGATAATCTCTATATCCCTTTCCGAAAATTTGATTAAGTTAGAGCTAAAGTTAAACTTGGAGATTTAAATTAAGAAATTCTGAAGAGAAATGTTAATTCAAAAATAAAAATCTAAGTAATACAATTAAGATTTAGAGTATAAGGATTATAATGTAATCTAATAGTATGATTATCTAAGAATTTCAACTTAATTCAAGAAATGTAAAAGAATAGTGAAATTTATAAGTTGAAGTAATTTAAGAAAGTTTGAATATAAAAATTTGATAATTTTGGTTTTGTTGTAATTTCAAGATCAAAAAGTTCTCATATTGATTTTTTAATCCATTATAATGATAAAAGAGAGACTATTTTGAAACAAATTATAGATCTTTGATTTAATTAAATAATAAATTAATGAGAATTTGCATCATCATATTCTGTACATTGGTGTTTTTGAATACAGCACAATTTGTAGAGACATTTAGATATTAAGATGAAAGTATTAAAGATGTTATATAAATATTAGAGAAACTAATAGTGAATTTTGAAAATATCAATCCAGGACAATATTATAAGAATGAAACAAGTCCGATATATCCAAATATCAGAGTGGAAGTGATTGAAGATGGAGAGAATGAACTGACTCTGCGTATTTTGAATCCCTTAGATACTTTTGAAATACCTCATAAGTTCCCATTCCCATATACAAAATATGATAGTTATTATGGTGAATATGATTATTAGGTGAATGAGAATGGAATCTTTTTTTCTGTTTCTAGATATGATGGAGTAAGATATTTTCATGAATATATAAGTCACCTGTGTTTACTATAACAAATGCTACGGTGCTTTCTTTATTGTATTCTGAATTACATACAGATTTAATATCAGAAGATACATTTGGATTTGGTGAAAGACGTCTAAATTCATTTAGAATACCAAAAGGAGAATTTTCGATTTGGAATCATGATTTTTGGGAATTTGATACTTAAGTTGGGTTTTCATTATATGGTGCTCATCCAGTGATTTTACAAAGATATAATTAATAATATCATATAGTGTTATTAAGATCAAGTAGACCAATGACTTTGGAAAGAACAGATGATGAACTAATATATAGAGTAACAGGAGGATAATTAGAATTTAAGATATTCTTAGGAAAGTAGAATGTAAAAGAATTAATTAAAAAATATCATTAATATTTAAATGGTTGGGAATTACATCCATTTTGGTCATCTGGATGGCATTAAAGTAGATGGGGATATTAAAATACATCAGTTATAAAAGATGTTATTAGAAATTATAAAGAATCTAATATTCCATTAGAAGTTATATGGACAGATTTAGATTATATGTAAGATAGAAAAGATTTTACATTAAATGAAGAAGACTATCCAAGAGCCGATCTATAATAAATAACCAATAGAACATAAAAAGATGGTGTTCATTGGGTGCCAATAGTCGATCCTGGTATTGCAGTAGATAGTGATTGTGGAAGAGATTTAGTATAATCAGGTGCTTACATTAAAAGTAATAGATAATCTTAAACTCCTTATCTTGGATATGTATGGCCAGGAGATGTTTATTTTACTGATTTTAATCATCCAAAGGCTTATGAATTATGGCATAAATGTCACAAAGATTGGTTTATTAAATATCAAATTGCTCCTAGTGGAATTTGGATTGATATGAATGAATTAGCTAATTTTAGAGATGGTGAAAAATAAAAAGGACCAAAATTAAATGATGAAATATTTGAATTAAAAGATTTACCTTGGGATGCTATGGGAACTATGACTTTAGAAGGACATACTATTGCTATTGATGCTTTACATGAAGGAAATGGTGTCTATTTTAATACTTCAACTAAATATATTTCAGAATTAGATTTTCATAACTTTAATGGTTTTCTTGAATAAATTGAATAAAGAAAACTATTATAGGATATTCAAAATAAAACTTTAATATTTTAATTGAGTAGATCATCAACTTTTGGAAGTGGAAGATTTTCAGCTATTTGGTTTGGAGATAATGCATCTACTTGGGCATGGCTTCGTTCATCAATTTATTAAATGTTTAATTTCAATCTATTTGGTATCCCATTTAATGGAGATGATATTTGTGGATTCAATTAAAATACTACTCCATAATTATGTGCTAGATGGATATAATTAGGAGCTTTCTATCCATTTGCTAGAGATCATAATTCTTTAGGTTCTCTAGATTAAGAACCTTATCTTTATGAAATTACTAAAATCTCTGCTTAAAAGAGTATTTAACTTAGATATGAATTTTTAAAATATTACTACTTTTTATTTATCTCTTAAAGAGATTCTAAAATTAAAGCAGGATCAGGTACAATAGTTGATCCATTGTGGTTTAAATATTAAAATGATCCTTAAACTTTTAACATAGAAACTTAGTTTTAGATCGGAAATATAATCGTGAATCCAGTTGTTGATGAATAAACTGATTCATCTCTTAATTATAGTGAATTGTAATTTTATGTTCCTCTTGAAGCAAATTGGGTATCTTTAGAGAGTGGTAAGAGAATACCAAATGGATGGAATACAATAAATAGAACTTTTACTGATAATGCATTTTTAGCCCTTGAAGCTGGATCTATTATTTAACATAGTAATTCAACAGGAGTAATGAGATTAAGAGAAATGTCTTCAGATATTGATTTAATTGTAGTATTAAATGAAGTAAATTAATATAACAAGTATTTAGTCTGGTTAAGCCACTGGATCATATATGTCGATAAAAGATTATGATGATGAATAAACAATTTTGTAAAGATGTTGGAATGATTAATATACTTGTATCAGAGAGATTTCTGTTAGAACTTTTAAAGATACTTTGTTATTTATTAACAATAAGGCAAGTAATGACAGAAGCGAAGAGGTCAATATCAAAAATATCATTATTTATATGAATCAATAGATATTAAGAGTTGAAATAAATGTTTCGTCATTCACTTAGAGTTGGTAAATCAATTTATGAAATATCATTATAAAATTAATATAATTCAATATTTTCCTTATTCAAATTAATAAAGATCTGCCATTTCTTCATCTTCATCTGAACAACTTTCAATTTTTTCTTATTCTTTTTCTTATATTTTTTCTATTTTTATTTTTTATGCTTATTAATTTGTTGGTGCTTTCATTTTTTTCATTTGTTTTTAAGGAATTGCTTATTATCGTACTTATGGAAGTTATTATTATTATTTTTTATCTTCTCCTTTAATAAAATTAGCAACTTTATCAAGAAAACTTGTTTATTATTTTTATTATTATTATTATTATTATTATTATTATTATTATTATTATTATTGTTATTATTATTATTATAATAAATATTATTACGTTGGTGCTGAAACTGTTTTATCTTTTCTAAATTCTTATTTTTATACAGCTGTTTATAATTTTGTATTATGTGTTAGGAAAGTTTAATTTTTTTATTAATTAGAGGTATTACTATTAATTTATGCATTTTTTTAAACATAACCATCCCATTAAAGATTATATGTTTATGCTTCTTAATAATTTCCTTTTTTAGCTATTTATGCAGTTTTTTATGCCATTCTTTTATGAATAACTTCAACTTCAGCTTCTTCTTCAGCTTCTTTAACATTTTCAGTAGTAGAAACTTATTAAGTAACAACTCTCATTAGTCTATCTCCATGTAAATTAGTATAAATAACTTTAATTTAGAATGGAACAGTTTTTAAATCTTTAATATCAATTTATTCTTTTTATAATTCTTAATCATTTTTAACTTGATATTCAAAAGTTTATGTAGTAGCAATAGTAGCATTACCTATTTCTCTTTTAAGTTTATTTCCAAGATTTGGATCATCTTCTCCTCTAAATTTTAATGCACGATGTAAATTAACAAATAATTCTACTTAAGTACCGACTAATTCATCTTTTAAAATATTAGCAAAATCTTTTTCAATATCTTCAGGTTTAACTCTAGTAACAGTTCCATTTGTTTTTTCACATAAAGCTCCTAAAATATCAACTTTACATCCTTCTCCTTTTATTGTCACTACTGATATTACTACACCACATTATGAAGCAAAAACACCTAAATCTTCATAAAATTATTTATTAGCATCATTATCTAATGATCCTAATCCCAAATTGGCTAAACCATCTGTACATATAATGATCATTGAACCAGGTTTACCAATTTTAGCTAATTATAAGGCTGATATTAATGCAGGTCCCAATGCGGTTTAACCTTTCTCTTATAATTTCTCGAATTTTTTTGTTAATATTTCAGCTTATACTTTAACTGGATATTTCATTAACTATTTTGCTGTCACATTTAATAGATTCTCTATTTCATCTTATTTAAATAGTCTATCTCCAGCTATTGTTATTGGTACTTCAGAACCATCTCCATATACTACTACTTCATTATTAAAAGTAACTAATCCAACTATTTTATTTGGATTCTTCTTTTTTATTTCCCCTATTTATTATTCTATTGCTGCCATAACACATTATTTTCGAGATACATGTGTAACATGTTTAGTATTAAATTATGGCCATATTTAATGTTCATCACCAGGTTCAATAAATTATTTAAGCATTTCATATTCTTCAGCTGATATTCCATGTTTGAAATTAACCTTTCCTTTTATCTCTACTGTGCTTGACATAGAACCACTTGTATCAATACAAAAAACTATTGAATTATCACCATCCTCAATTTACATTTGTTATTCTTAAGCTGATTTTATTAAATAAACTGTGTCTTCATTAATTGGAATCTCTTCTTTCTCTATTTAGATTTAATTTTTGTGATTGCAAAATTCGCATACCCAAATTTACTTTCCGAATTATTGATTTTAAACATCATCTTCTATTTTAGAATATTTATTTAAAACTGTCTCACATTGTTAACATATAACAGGATCACCCTAATGTATTTTTACTACATTTTCTTTTAAACAATCAAACTTAACTTGGAAAATATTTGTATCAACATCATCTATAAATTAGAAATGAAATTTTACATTTGTTATCAGCAGACCTTCTTTTCAGATAGGCCTTCTTAGAACACATTGCCATCATCTTTTTAAAAAAATAGATATATTTTATTAATTTGATGTAAACATAAGGTCTTAATAAATTATATAGTACATTAACCTGATTAATACTATTAATAATTATAGATATTATGTAAAAACAGAAGAAGGCTTAAACTTACAAGGACTCTCACACTTTAGAAGAGAGAAAGAAAAGAGTATAGGAGCAATTAGCAAAATACCCTGAAATGATTCCTGTAATAGTGGAGAAGATTCCAGGTTGTAAATTACCTTAATTGCAAAAAGTGAAGTAAAATAATTTAAATGATCAAATATAGGTTTTTAGTGAATTCTAGTTTCTCTTTTAATGAATTCAAAAATACAATAAAAAAAAAATTGCAATTAGATGAGAAGACTTCGACTTTATTTATGTACTGTGGTAAAAGTTTAATGAATGAACGTACATTTTATAATAAATATGTAGATGATAAACTGAGAAATATTTACGATTAGTATAAAGATCCAGAAGATGGATTTCTTTACTTATAATATGCAGATGCAGAAACCTTTGGTTTTTGATAAAATAATAATCTATATAATAATTAATTTCAAGCACCTTCTTTTTCATCTATCCTTTTCAAAACATCAACTTTAGGAACCTCAAAAGTTAGATGAATTGTATGTTTATCTTAATAAAATATATATATAAATACCTTCTTCAGTATATTTACCCATCATATTCTTTAAATTTTATTATCTCCAATTATTATAATTCTTTAATTATTCTTCGAATTCTCGAATGGATACTCTTACATATGGTTATTGCATATTATTTATTTCAATTTCATGTTTATCTAGAAAATAATAGACATAATGTTTTACAACTCAATTTTTTATGCATAACAGTTCGAGGAACAATCACTGGTTTCAATTAATTCTATTTTTATTATGAATCATCATATTCTGAAACCAATCTTTCTAATTTTAATTATTCAGTTATCTTTGGTTCCTCTTGCTATTATATTCTCAATTCTTGTTCTCTTCTCAATTTTTTATGGACCATCTTTAAATAATAGTTTTTGTGATCTTATTCATATTCTCTTTAATTCTCGTTTATTTTTGCTTATTCTAATTTACTTAAGAATCTTAAATATTTCACATAAATGTAATCAGACTAAAATCATAATTCATACACCTTACAATTAATTATTATTGTGGTTAACGATTCTCAAAATAACTCTAATTCTTCTTTGGTCTATTAATCAAAGTATATTGATGTATAATCTATCTAAACCTTTATTATTAATTCATTACTCTTCATCTAATCCTCCAACTTTCGGATTTTTATGTTGATGTGATACACGATAAAGTAAAAAGTAATGAAATACTAATCTCACTGTTCTACTCCAATGTAAAAACAATTTAAAAACTGCCTTCTCGAATAAAAAATCACAAATATCTTTCTTAAAGTCTACTATTCAATTTTTAAACTTTTAGTATTACTTGAAAATAAAGGATATATATTGTAAATTAGCCATACACATTTAGCTATACTCATTGCATGTTCTGAATCTATTATTATTTATTTAATTCCTTTCAAAAAAAATGGATAATCAAAATAAGCAGGCATTGTTGTTAATGTACTAAAACATATATCTAATATTTCAAATGTCTCTATCACTTATTCTGCATTATATAAACTTATTTATTACATTAAATACTTTGTTTTATTAAATTGTAAACTAACTACTATTCCAAGTAAATTAACATTCTAAAGTAAACTTTTCAAAGCTATTTTCATTGCATCTGGAATTGATTCTTACTACTTTAATTCACACATAAAAGCTTTTACCAATATTCTATATCCTGGAATATCTTACCAAGGAATAATTTTTACTTGCAAAATGTTTCTTACGTATTGTGCCCATTCCTCTACAAAAAAACAAAAATTTATTGATCTATGTCTTATATGTTCTTTCCAACTTTCATCATCTAATATTTAATTCAAAATAGATTAATTTTATATTCCTTTTGCTTTATCAGATAAATAAGTATGAAAATAATTCTACCAATCAAAAATTGAAATATTGCTCTTTGTACTTTTATCAATATTTGTTGGATCATCTTCTTATATAAATTCTGTCCCTCTTAATTCTGATAATTATGGATCATCAGCTTTATTAATTAATTCAAGGAACTTTGCTCTAAATTCTGGTATTCGAAAATAACTTATCACTAAAAATTTTATGTATAATTATCTTGCTTATTGACTTGGATCCTTTTAATTTAATTTTTATAATGTGAATCGAAGAGTATTCACCAAAAATGATTAATAATTTAAACCTACTTCTGTTTTCAATTCTGATTATTTCTTACTTAAAGCTTTAAAAAATCCTAATTATTATAACATTAATTCTCCTCTGCTTAATACTAAATTTAAACATTCAAAATAAGAATTAAATGAAGCCAATGTTTTTGAATAATCTACTAAATGTATAGATAATTGAACTAATAAATGTTAAGCCTTCATTAAATCATCTTCAGACTTATATTGAAATGTTTTAATATTAGTTGCATGTGATTATCCTAATAATTAAGCCAACTTACCTAATTATTGTTCCATATCTTAACGAACCTTAATTTTATCATCCATATTTAATGTTTTGTGTTCTATTTTAAAAATAGAACTTGATAATTTTTAAAACTCAAATTAAATCATCTTAATTTCTGTAACACTTATATTTTCAACATTTCCTACTACAGAAGCAGTTGAAACTATGCCCTTTTCTGTTTAAACACCAAATGATGATTATTATAAATAATTTGGTAATCTTACACTTATTTCATAATCTATTTTACCAACCTCAACACCATGATACCATATTGATTTTGCTTATTAGGTACTTATAATAAAAAATTTAGCTCCCAAATCAGCAACAATGTTAGTTTCTAAATTTGATAAATTAATATATGTTTCTGCTACCAAATGATGATCTTATATTTCTAGATCCATATATTCTGAGTCATGTTTATTTAGTGTCTTTTTTATAATTGTTTTATGAGAAGATTTACTATTTTCTAAACTAATTTTATTTGATGAAATAGACCATAAACATATTTGGATAGCAGAACCTTAAAATTCTGAGATTGGTAATTCTACTATTAAAGTTAATTCATCGCCAGCATGATCCCATTCTATTCTATGATAAGGTTATGAGGCAGATGATTATCCTTTATTTGTTGGTGTGGCTGCAATTATCGAATCGAGAGAATGATTTATACCTCCACTACTATTTAACATAGAAGGTATTTTTGGTATTGATATAATTGAATCTCTTAATACTTCTTAATCTAATATACTTTTACGACTTTAAGATAGCATACTTCTTTATTTTTCATTTTATTTTCTATAATTTGGATTCACAAAAGTAGTTGAATGTTCAGAGATGAATGAGAATTATGAAGTCTTTTATTTTAGTTTAAATTTTTACCACTAGACGTAAATTATAATTGTATCTAACATCACTTAGACTTTAGTTTAATTCCCAAATAATAAACTTACTTTAAAGTGTTGCTTATACAATTTGATTCATTTTCAAATCAAAGCTAACATTGCCAATATTTTTTCCTCTGATAGGTAATTGAAAATGAAATGGACCTACTGCAGCTTCAAATAAATTGATGGTGGCTTATCCAATTACTTAAGTATCGATCACTGAGATTTTCATCTAGGATTCTCGCATCTGCTACTCAGTCATTTTTAAGGTTCCATCAAAACTAGCTCGCCACTTCCTTCGATGAATTTAATACATAATGATCTCCATTATTATCAATATGGACTGGCGATGTGTACTTACACTACCCTAAATCAAATTCAATAGAGCATTGTCTCACACCTGTCATTTTTAAAGTAATGTTCTTTAACAATACTTTAATCTGTAATTCTCCATTGGTTATAATAGGTTGGTTCATTTTGTGAACTTAGTCTTCCTAACTTTTAGAACTACCTCCACAAATACCCATTATATTATATAAATAGTATTAAAATAATATTATTTCTTAAATAGTTGATATAAGTTTTAAATTATTTCAAATATTGAAAGGAGATCTAAACATTTAGATAGCTTCAAATTAAATATTAGTTATATAAATATATATATATATATCATTTGTTAAATTATAATTTATTAATTGTTTTTATTTTTTGCATTTATTTTTTGGCTTCATTTAATATAACTTTAGATGTTTAGGATTTACTCTTTATCTATTTAAAAGTCTTAGATTTATCATCATTATTATTATTATTATGTTCTGTTCTGCATTCCTATCTGTATGTTGACATCATTGCTAAACTATTACTTCCTGGTCTAGTCTATGTACTATGATTAGTTAAATATTGAATAGTTTTTTATTCTCTATGTATTTTATGTTTAAAATTATTACTGAATTCTTGATTATTAATCTGATGATAAATATGACTCACTAAATAGAAGTATCAAATATTACATGATTGGATTCTATTCAAAGATAATGTTAATTATCTATTTTATTTAATGAATTCAGTTCTAGGAGTTGAATTATCATAAAGTAAACTAGTCTTTGCAACCATAGTAGATTCTGTCTAAACATCTCTTTTTATCTAAGGATTCTCTATGTCAGTTTTTATCTAACTGTAATATTATTCATAATTTTCTTCATTCACTTCTCCTAACTAAGAGTTTCTCTCATCCAACAATAAAGATCTTCGTCTAAAATGTATACCAATTCTAATACGCCAATTGCTTTCTTTTCGCAGTAATATTAGGATCGCTGATTTTGGAGTCAGTGTAATTCTACAACTTCTCTGCTGCCATATTATAAGTCATTTAGACAATGTGAGGCAAAGGTGTTTATTCATTCGAGGATAAATGACAAAAATGACTTAACTACTATGTTTCGGTCTTTATTTGATTACAAATCAATGCTATCTATTCATAAATGCATTAACTTTCAGATGCTATTCTATTTAAACATAATTAAACAAAAGCATCAAAATTATCTGATAATACTTTGTCATCAATTTCATTTTCTGTTATTAATTAACAATATTATTTAAATTCATTAAATATTTAAGTGTCATTATATAATATTGTTATATTATGAGATTTTTTTAATTTCTTAAACTCTGGATAATCATCCAAATGTATCTAAGATTGTTATTAATTTTATTTTAAGAATGTTAAAGTTATCTAAGCCTATTAATATTTCTCAATCATATCTTAGCTCAATATTTCACTCCTTTATGCTATATTATAAAGTATATTTATTATTCTCTATAAGAAAATACTGGCCCTATTATTCATACATAAAAATAACTCTTCCATTTATTATCTTCTACTTATTGTTTAAATTATTTTTAATTTATTAGTCACACTAGATTGAGCTATATTTGATGTAATTACATTCTAATTAAAATTATCATTTGAAGGTTTTGAACATTTTATTATTCTCTCTTTATTACCTTCGTCATCTAGTTAAAACTAAGTATTTCAATAAAATTTACCTTCCATTATATATTATTATACTCTCTAACACATTCACATTTCTATTCAATTAAAAATGTATGCTATTCAGCTAATTGTCTTTATAAATTTGTCTATTCTTCATATGCTTTTAGAATTATCTCTTCAATTATATTTATATCTACATTCAATTTTACTTATGATATTAATTCTTTTGCAGTTATAAAATTTTGTAAAGATTATTAATAATTTATTGCTTTTTTCTAATTCTTTTTAATTGAATTAATAGATCTTATTGATTACTTAGATTTCAGAGAAGTTTACTTTATTTGTGTTTAAAACACTCCTCCATCATCTAAAAAGGAATTCTCTGATGATTCTATAATCAAATCTTCAGATTCGTCATTTTCTATTTTAGAATCTTAACTTATATCAATCTTTTAGGTTTAATTGGTACAAAATTCATATAACTTTGTCATTGCTAAATAGTTTTTTATTATTATCATTTAATTGCCACTTGATTCCCATTTCAATCTCTCTTATTATTTTAGATCTTCAATTTAAGATTTCTAATCATGGATTTATATTTTTAATTCATTTATATGATCTTAGATTGCTTAATATTCCTTCTTCTATTCTTCAGTGCTTGCCCTATGAATGTCATTTTGATCCATTAACTCTTACAAATATTGATTTCTTCTATTCTATAATCTTTAAATTTTAGTTTTCATTGATTGTAATGATTATTTGGATCTAAGCATTTCAAATTCAGCTAGAATTAATTCATCTTCAGCTTATTTTTATTAATATTTCAACAGTTACATCTAATGTTCCATAGGATAAATCTATTATTTTTTCTTATTTATAGACTTGATTAATTCATCTATAGAAATTTATAATTATTTTGTTGTCTCTAAACTTGAAATTGATTATGATTCATCAAATTTACTAACATTTTATTAAAGCTTATCCTCTTTCTCTATAATAATTGGTTTTACTTCATTCTCATGTTGAATCAATTTCTAATATATTTTTTATTTGTAAATGTTGTTATTCCTTATTTCCTGATAAATTAAATTGAATTATGAGTTTTGATCACTTATTTATTTTTTAAATATCTCCTATTTATTAAACTCCTCCTCTAATAATGACTGAGGATCCTTTAATTTATTGAAATCCTACATACTACTTAATCTAGATTCCAAATGACTTAAGGATTACATTTTTATATTAAATAAAAAATTATCTCATTTGATATTAAAAACTAAAAAGGTATTGAGTAAAAATAGAGTATCTTCAGGATTCGAACCTAAAATATTAGTATAAATAAAAAAGAATATCTGGTATATTAAAGAAATAAAATGTGTTTTAAGAGTAAATAGCTAGGATTACTTATTCTTAGATAATAATTGATAACAAAAGTGTTAATTAGTGTAATAATATAAAATATATCAGGGTATAATTGCATAATCAATGAAATCTCATCGTGGAGTGATTTATACAAATATCATCATAGAAATGTAATAATATATGATATCAGAGTGGTGATGCAAATTGAATCAATATAGCTTATATTAAATATAAGTTAATTCATGAGCCAATTGATTTTCATCACAAATTTTAATTTTAATAATGATAAAAATAATTAATTTTAATATAATATGAAATACAGAATCAACCAAGTATTCTAATTTTTTGATTGATAATACCTTAAGCATCTTTGATTGCAATATCAATAGTATCAATTTCCCAATCATTAGTTTTTTTATTTTTTTTGCCTTTGACATAACAAATTCCAGCTTTATTTCCATACATATCAGTTTCAAATTCTGCTTGATCTCTAATTTATCCACCTCTCAATTATTGATTGAATTGTATATTTTGACCAAATAATTTCTTGATTTAAGGATTAGTCTAAATAATAATTAATGATTGTCTATGAATTTAAGTATTGAGTACACTTATTCTCTAAAAATAAATAATTAATAAATATACTCTATTAGTTTTAACATAATTATATATAGCCATAGCTCCAATAATAGTACTAATAAGTGTGATATTTCTAACACCTCCAACCTTTCTATATAATTCTTATTGTCTATATCTTCTAGCTTCTTCAATTTCTTATTCAGTTGTTGGTACTTTAGGTTTACGAGCATCTATTTCTAATTTCAAATCATAAAGAGTTCTACGATCAGTTACTAAAGGTGGAGTCATTATTTGAGACATATCTTTCTTTAAAACTTAATTTGAATCTATTAGAACTATTCTAAAATCTCCTTATAATCCAATATCAGCAACAAGATGATCAATCTTCCACAATTTTATATCTGGTGTTAATTTCCAATTTTATAATGCTTCTACATCTTTATTATATTTCATCACATCTGTCATTAATTTAGTAGATGGAATATAATATTAAGTTTTATTTTATATTTCTTACAATTCTCTTGATTATCCCATCAATTCTACTTTTGCTGCTCCTTTTGGACCAACTACTTAAAAAGAATATTAACACACATCTTCACTTTGTGTTGCATTACTACCCATATTTATTTAAAGTGATAATGGATATCCTGCCAATTATATTATTTATTCATTATGTTACAATATTCTTAATGCTTCCTATACTATTGGATGATCATATTTTTATTTATGCAAATAACTTGTACCAAAATAACCCACACCTGAAAATCCTAAAAAACACAACAAAAAATTAGGTCCAGATCTAAATGGAAATGAATTCCTTAATTTATTAAACATTATTTTTATTTAATATAATTAATACAATAATCAAACCATGAATTATCTTAAAGTTATTTAATAAGCTATTTAATAATTTTAACCTATTTTCTTCTCATTCACTCTCATTTCTTCAATTTATAATTTAATATATTTTTACATTTATATTTCTCCTTAGCTTAACCTGCATATAATAAACTCTATAATCCCATCACTATTTCCACTGCTACAAATATCACTAATACTACTGTAAATTATATTGTTTAAGAATAAGCTATCTAATCTTCATCTCCATATATATAAGATTGAGTTTACTCTATTTAACCATAATCAATTAATATTAATATTGTTATTATACCCCTTGTTATTACACAAGTAAATGTCAACATCATGAAAATTGTTAGTAATTATTCACTTTTTTATACTACACAAAAATACCCTAATTCATTGCTCTATTCTTACCAACTAAACAAGTTAACAATTTCAATATATGCACCATCACCAATATTGTTATCAAATAAGATATTGTGAATCCTTCCTTTTTCCATCTATAAAAACTTAATATTGATAAACTATCATAAAACTCTAAATTCGACTATCCTTCTATATTTATTATTGATGTCAAATTATATAGTGTTATTACCTATTCTTTTCCAATAACCATACTAATTATAGCGAATTTATTAGATTGAATAAACTCACTTTTTCATTGAATTTTGCTCTATTTGATAACAGCTTTTCAAGTATCTTTTCTTTCTTTCTTGATTTCTTCTTTGGAGAACCTAACTCAGAATTCTCTGAAAATTAATATGGACTCATTCCTTCTTAATTCTCACTCTCATTCCCAAATTGTTATAGTAACATCATATTTGTCTCTTGCATCTCTAAATGTTAATCTATTTCATCACTCATCTTTCTAATTATTATTATTACTTTCAATCACCAAATTTATCATAACTCTTCATTTATTTCATCAATTATATACTATATTCTACCAATAAAATTTATTTTATTTTTATACTATATTTTCTCTATTTTTTTTATCTAAATTTTATATTTTCTAATTCTTATATTTTTATTGTAATTCATTTTTTATAATTCGAAATGAACCACTTAAATAAAATTCAAAAAATTATTACTTTATAAAACTTTCATCATTCTAACTATATTTATAAAATAATTAAACACAACACATAATTTATTTTAAATTTCATAATTGGAATCTCCTCATAAATGAACTTATTCTTACATTTTTAATAAAATTTTAGTGCTAAAATTTAAAATGGAAAAGATTTAATAATTTTCGCAATTGGTTTTGATAAGGTTTACAATTTTTATCTCCTTCATATAACTAATTAACTTCTTTTATTTTATTTTGTGAAAAGTTTTAATTAATTGAGTCAATTAAAAAAATTAATATGCATTCCTATTTCATTAATTAATTATTATTATAAATAAAATCTTAATGTTATAATAATCTAAACAATATTTAAAGAATAACATTCTTGTTACATAAAAAAATATGGAATTCAAAATTAACAAAGATAATTTTAGTAAAAGTTTAGAGCTTTATCAAATTCTAAATTCAAGTAATCTAAGTAAAGTGTGAGCATTTATTTAAGAGTTATGCATTTATTTAATTACTATTAATAGAATATAGAAATTCATTGAGATTAATTCACATTATCGTTGAATTGCAAAAGATGAGAGAAATCCAAATTAAATTCATTTCTAAATAATTTTTAAACATAATTGTGATATAATAGATTTTATAATGTATGATAATACTTTTGTTTTCATTGATTAAACCTATAAACTAGAATAAATTAGTATTTTTTATTATATTGCTTTAGACAATATAATCAAAAAAGTAAAGTTTGATAATTTGATTTAAATTTTACATTTACATTTAGTATGTCATGAGAGAAAAGTTTGGTTACACCACATTTTATAATTAAAGTAAGATGAAATATTAAATAGACAATAATTACACTTTTACATTAGAAATTGTTCAGAATTTTTGTTTACCCATGACTTAAGATTTATTTGTTAAAAAAATACAGTAGATAAGATATAATTTTAGGGGCATTTATTAGTTTGAAATCAAGAAGAAGAGTATTGATTTGAAAGAAAAAAAAATTTGAAGAGACATTATAATAATAATAAATAGTTTATTTTTTATGATTTAATTATTTAATTTTTGAATCTGAAGGAATAATTAATGATTTCTTAAAATGGTGGATTTTGAGATAATCTGATTAATGAAAATGTTCAACAAATATAGCAAGAGAGAAAATGAAATTAGTTGATCTAATGGTTTAAAAATTAAGAATTCAGATATGTATGTATAAAATTTATGGAGATAAACATTATAAATGATTAAAAGAAAGTAACTTAGATGGAATGTCTTTAATTTGTTTATTGAATAGTAAAAGTAGATATAGAATTAATTGAAATAAATGAATGAAAATTAGTTAAAGGTTCTTTTTTTGTATGGTAGTAATAGTGTGATATTTAATTTATATAATAAATGATTGTATATATTTAAATAGTGATTTAGAAGTGAGAGTGATTTAAGAAGAGATAGTTGATTTGGGATAACTTTAGAGAAACAAGAATATTTAGAAGAGGATGAGATAGGGATAATAGAAAAATAATAAAAGAATATTAATAAATAAAAATTTAATAAATTTAGATCATATCTTTGATATATCTTTTGATGTATCTTAGAAAGTGAAGATGGAAATCAAAAGTAGTCCGGTAAGAAAATAGTTGAGGAATATGGTGTAGAAAATGATTCTTGACATGTGATTGGGTGTTAATTCTTTGAGTAGAGTATTGAGATCTAAAATTTGATTGGTTGATTAATAAATGAAAGGAATATTGAGAGTGTTTAAAAATTGAACTGAATAATCTCTTTAGATAATTAAATAAAAGTAAAATGTCATCAGGAGGAAAAGGAAAAGCAGGAAAAGGAGGAAAGGCAGCAGGAGCTCATAAATCAGTATCTAGATCACATAAAGCTGGTTTATAATTCCCAGTTGGAAGAGTGTCAAGATATTTGAAATAAGGAAGATATACAGAAAGAGTTGGTGCTGGTGCTCCAGTTTATTTATCAGCTNTAAAGTAAGATGAAATATTAAATAGACAATAATTACACTTTTACATTAGAAATTGTTCAGAATTTTTGTTTACCCATGACTTAAGATTTATTTGTTAAAAAAATACAGTAGATAAGATATAATTTTAGGGGCATTTATTAGTTTGAAATCAAGAAGAAGAGTATTGATTTGAAAGAAAAAAAAATTTGAAGAGACATTATAATAATAATAAATAGTTTATTTTTTATGATTTAATTATTTAATTTTTGAATCTGAAGGAATAATTAATGATTTCTTAAAATGGTGGATTTTGAGATAATCTGATTAATGAAAATGTTCAACAAATATAGCAAGAGAGAAAATGAAATTAGTTGATCTAATGGTTTAAAAATTAAGAATTCAGATATGTATGTATAAAATTTATGGAGATAAACATTATAAATGATTAAAAGAAAGTAACTTAGATGGAATGTCTTTAATTTGTTTATTGAATAGTAAAAGTAGATATAGAATTAATTGAAATAAATGAATGAAAATTAGTTAAAGGTTCTTTTTTTGTATGGTAGTAATAGTGTGATATTTAATTTATATAATAAATGATTGTATATATTTAAATAGTGATTTAGAAGTGAGAGTGATTTAAGAAGAGATAGTTGATTTGGGATAACTTTAGAGAAACAAGAATATTTAGAAGAGGATGAGATAGGGATAATAGAAAAATAATAAAAGAATATTAATAAATAAAAATTTAATAAATTTAGATCATATCTTTGATATATCTTTTGATGTATCTTAGAAAGTGAAGATGGAAATCAAAAGTAGTCCGGTAAGAAAATAGTTGAGGAATATGGTGTAGAAAATGATTCTTGACATGTGATTGGGTGTTAATTCTTTGAGTAGAGTATTGAGATCTAAAATTTGATTGGTTGATTAATAAATGAAAGGAATATTGAGAGTGTTTAAAAATTGAACTGAATAATCTCTTTAGATAATTAAATAAAAGTAAAATGTCATCAGGAGGAAAAGGAAAAGCAGGAAAAGGAGGAAAGGCAGCAGGAGCTCATAAATCAGTATCTAGATCACATAAAGCTGGTTTATAATTCCCAGTTGGAAGAGTGTCAAGATATTTGAAATAAGGAAGATATACAGAAAGAGTTGGTGCTGGTGCTCCAGTTTATTTATCAGCTGTCCTTGAATATTTGGCTGCTGAAGTTTTAGAACTTGCTGGAAATGCCGCCAAAGATAATAAGAAGAACAGAATTAATCCAAGACACATTCTCTTAGCTATAAGAAATGATGATGAATTAAACAAATTGATGGCCAATACTACTATTGCTGATGGAGGTGTCTTACCTAATATTCATCCACATTTATATTCAGCTAAGGAAGATCCAAGCCAAGCTGTTTGATTTAAATTTTAATAGTCAAATAATTAATATGAATATTGATAATATTAATCTAGGCTATTTTGAAGCTGATCATTCTTCCACTTGTTCCTATTGTTAGAAGGCAAAATCTTATTCATTAGGATTTTCAACGAGTAATATTATTTCTATACACCTTTATTAGAGAAACTATACCCCTCTACTTATCATTCCATGATGGATAGAGGTTGGAGAAGATGTGGTACATATTATTACAAATATAATTTTACTATGAATTGTTGTCTCTCTTATACTATTAGAGCTAATGCACTTTTATCATAATAAAAAAAAGGATAGAGAAAAATTGCAAAAACATTTTTAAAGCTCCTTGAGTCTGATCTTTTATCTAAATAAGTAGCTGATTTAAAATCAACATTAAACATAATTAATAATAATATTAAACAAGATCATTTATCTAAATAGTCTAATATAAAGAATCCTAATCCATAACAATAATCATTATAATAACAATAATCATTATAATAAAAGAATATCAAACCTCAATAATAATAAAATTCACTTCATAAATAGAAACCTTAATAAATATCTGAAGATATTATTAATTCCTTAAAAGTACATTTTCAATAATACTTACAAATTATTGTTTCAAATATCTAAGAATTTATATTATTATTTAAAGAATATTTTGATTCTAAGGGATTTCTAATTGAAGAAGTTTAAACAATATTTCAATATAATCTAAATATTAATACAATTAAAATATTTCCATCCTAAGTAGCTAATAAGGGTGATTATTACTGTAATTTTATTATGCTTATATATGGGCTTAATAAAAAATTATTATTTTCAGATTTCCCAGTTGATAAATTTGCTTCGAAAATTATTCCCTTTGTTTAAAAGAATTTTATTAGTGACTAATTTTTGTTTGTTTAAGAACTTACTGGTTTTTTATCAATATTTACAAAAGAAAATGTAAAAAAAGCTAATGAACATTTAATTTAAATTGAAAAATAGATTGTAGAGTAGAAACAAAAGATCATTATTGAATAAAATATTTAGAAACCATTAAAATGTATATATTAATTATATGGAAATAGAAAATATTAAATTAATTGATGATCAGACATTTAAATCAAATTTATTTTAGATAGGAAATATGAAGGTGTTATTAAAACCTGCAGAATGTACAGAAGAAAATTTTTAATTGTATCAAAGATATTGTCAAGAAATTCATGGTAAATAAAAGGAAAATAAGAGTGGATATTAATCATTTTTATGTGAATAAGGATTAGATTAAAAAAAGTTTATTCAATCAAAAATAGATGGTAGTAAAATATTATTTATGGGATGCTTTCATATGAGATATTATATTGGTGATACCTTGGTAGCAGTTGGAGTAGTAGATATAACAGAAACAGCTTTAAGTTCTGTTTATTATTTTTATGATCCAATATTTGAAGAGTTTAATTTTGGTACATTTGGAGCTTTAGTAGAGATAGAATATATTTAATTAATGAATCAATATTTTCCAGATTTTAAGTATTATTATTTGGGATTTTACTTATAAAATACGAATAAAATGTCATATAAAGGTGATTTTGAGCCATGTGAATTATTGTGTCCAGAAACATATACTTGGGTAGCATTAACAAAAGAATTAAGAAGTGAAATTGATAAAAGATAAGCGTAAGCTACAAATTAGAGAAAGCTTAGAATAAGTAATTAGAATGTTGGTATAATTGATGATATGGATATGAATGATAAATCATTTTATGGATAGATTCAAATAAGTTTGAGGGGAAAGGTTATGAAATTATCAGAATTAAATTTTGATTAGAAACAATTGAAGAAATATTTGGATAATGCTTATTGCAGATTTGGAAAGTAATTGATGTAGAAATTGATATTTGAGTTATGAATTTAAAATAATTAAAAATAATATACATATATAAATGCAAGAGAAAATCATATAGGAAAGCTATTCTTATTTAAATGATTTGAATAATAAAGTAGGCAATAGTAATAAATTGGTATATTCTAATTATTGATAAGGTTGGTATCTACAAAGGATTTATAGGAAACATTCATTAATCATTTTGTACACTATCAATGTAATTAACTGAATATTCAGAATAATTTTATTTATAGTTAGCATAAACATAGGAAGAAAATGAATTGAATCTTTTCTATTACAATTAATTATCCAACGCCATCATAAATTTTGCTCATAATTTGGATGAGTTGACGAATGAGATGAAATAAGGCATTTTGGAACCTTATGAAGAATTTACAGAAAATTATACTGAAATCAATAAAGAATTAATTACAAAGAGTCAGGAATTCTTGAAATAGGTTGAAAAATAAAGAGAAGCACTTTTTATTAAACAACATGATTATTTAAAAACAGCTTATGATTTAGAGAAAAAGAAAAAATCAAAAACATTAAAATTAAAAGCAGATGAATTATTTGTAGATTATAGATAAGAGTTGGCAAATGTAAATTAGTTATGGGATTTGTTTAATGATAAATTTAAGAAATCTTTTGATGAATATGATTCAAATGAATTAGGTAGAACTTCAATTACAGAGGCAACTTCAGAGAAATTATTACAACATATTTCTAAAATAACTAATACATTGAATTTGAGATTACTTTAATTGTTGTAATAATCTAATGATAAATTACATTTGATATAAAATAAATATCACATAGAAAAGTAACCGATTTTGAAAACTATTATGAAGAATAGAAAATTTAATATATTTAAAGTAACAAAGTAGGATAATTTTATTACTTATGAGGATTGGAAAGCCAATATGAATTCTCATGATAAATTTGATCCTGCAAATTTACAAAAATTTAAATTATCTTAATAGATTGTTTAACAAATTAATTAATTGACTGATATCATATAATCGATTTGTAATAATATCTATTCAATTAATGTTGGTTAATATGATTTTGAAACTTTATTTTAACATGCAGATACTAGAATTAAATTATTGGATAATATTGGAGATATTATAGAAAAAGCACCTACAGATACAATTACAATAAATTAATATGCTAATGATCTATTAGTGTAGATTGCAAGAAATTTAATTATTAGTAAATTTATTCATATTTATTATTGTATATAGACTTATAAAAAGATTAGACTTTTGATATTGTAGAACTTAATGCTTTATTAAATTTCATTACTTAATTTGGGATTAGAGAAAAAAATCAATTTATTACTATTGGTGCCTAGGCAAGTGATAAAACATCCTTATTTTATGTTAAGAATAATTGGTAATAATTATTATTGTATTTAAATGAAAAGGAAAATCTGGAAAATAAATCAAATTAAAATTAAAATGAGAAGAAAAAAAATAAACCAAAGAAAAATGAGATTCTAAATTTGTTATATTAAAAAAAAAGAATTATAAAAGATTAAATGACATAAGAATAAAAACTTAATTATTTAAAAGTATTAATAAACTTATAAAAAATTTGTTTAATGATGCTTAAACTTGATATTAAAATAGATTATGCAAGTGAGACAATAATAGTATTAGCTAAGATGTGTAATATTAAGGTTTAAGATATAGTACTTTTGTTAGAATAATTTGAATCAATTAAAATTTATATGGAATAAATATAACCATAATCTCCAAAGACTTAATAAATGATATTAGAAAAGAAGAGATTAGTGTATATATTTAAAAAATGCCTTAAATATTTGACTTTATAAGATTAATTAAATATAACATTAGTTAATAAAGAGTTTTCAACTTTAAATACAAAGGTGAAACAACAATATTTATGTTTAAATAATTTGAGTGAAAGATTATCAACAAAAAGAAAACTATTATGGACAAGTTTGCTTTAGCCAGAATCAATTTAACTTGATTATTATAAATTAAAAGAGAAGTATTCAAAATCAGCAGGATCGAAAGAAGCATTTTTGGAATAATAAATAGCATAGGATGTATAGAGATCATTTAATAGTGTTGGATTATAAAGTAAGATTAATCATCTTACTTTACACAATTTACTTAAATTATATGCTTATTACAATAATACAGTATCTTATACATAAGGAATGAATTTTGTAATGGGATTTATGTTCATGATAATGGCAGATGAAGAATTAACATTTCGATGTTTTTCTGCTTTAATTAATTAATTATTGAAGGATGTTCTATTATATGATTTAAAATACATAAGAGTATTCTTTTATAAATTAGATCGATTGTTAGCAATATTTATGCCAAAAATACATTTACATTTAAAAGAGGAAAAGATTGAAGCAGGTCATTATTCAGCTCCTTGGTTTATTACATTATTTACAGGATCTTTTATGAAGAATGAATTTTCAACTGTTCTCTTTGATATTTGGGATTTATTATTGAGTAGAGGATGGTGTGGATATTATTAAATATTATTAGGAATATTTTAAACTTATGAAGAGAAGATTCTTACAATGAAATTTGATAATTTATTGTAATTTCTTAATAATTTAACCAAAGCTGAATTCTTTACTTAAAATACAGAGGTATATAAACATTAATTATTATTATTTTTAGGAAATAGCATCTTTGAAAACTCTTAAATATAGAGCCTTAAAATTTAAAGTAACAAATAAATTAATTGCAGAATTAGATAAGGAATACTATTTGGTTAGATAAAAAATAAATAATCTAATGAACTCATGAATTAATATAAATTATATTGTTAAATATATGAAATAGACTCTTCCTGTACTCGCACATTTTGAAAAGAGTTCAGATGAAATTGCTAGTAATCTAAGTGATCATCATATACAATAGAATATTTTACATTAAAGTATGGAACCAATTACCATATTATAAAACAATTGTAAAACTAAAGAAAATAACTTGAAACTCCTATGATAGAAGCTAAAAGAACTTTAAGGACTATTGAATAAGATTCTGAAGGAACAAAAAGAAGTTATTCAAAATAATCAGAACGTATTAAAGCTACATCTACATCCAATTTCTCTAGGCCTGATAGTTAATTTGATACATTCATTCAAAATACACAACATTTTGATTTAAAATCTGCACTTCTTTTATTGTAGAATATTAAGTAAATCATGGAATGTCTCTAAAATAAAGAGAATACTCCAAATTTCTAATTATATTGGGAATCAGTTTATATGTTTAAATGGGAACAATATATCTATTATTTTATCAGACCTATAACACAGAAGACAATTTAAGAATCTATATTTTTGATGGATATCGTAATCTCATTTATTTAATGTTAAATGAAAGAAAATTTAATAAATAACAATTCTTAAGAATATTAATAAGAAATGACAGTTTTAACTAAATTTATATTAGAAAACTTCTGTCATTTCTTAAAGAGAATTTTAACACAAACTAAATAGTAGAATAATACTTTACTTATAGAAATTTAAAATAAAATTGATTTAATCTTGTGTAAAAATAATCCTTGTTTTAGTTTTATATAGGAATTAAAAAGGAATAATAGTTTCATCAAAAATATAATTGAAAAATTATTAAAAAATGATAATAATAATATATAGCCTGTAATTATTACATGTAGATATTAATTAAGTCAAATAAAAACATTAGATATATAGAGCAGTAGACCATAATTAGTTAATGCAATTTATTTATCAACAAGTGTTGTTTAATAGACAGAATATTAATCTCCATTAAAAACCTTATTTAAAATCCCTCATCAATAATAATACGCGATGCAGTTAAGATAATCATATAGTAATTTAGAAAAAATTCAAGCTCCATTTATTTAAGAACCGTTTGAACATTTATTATGTGTAATATTGGACTTAGATGAAACAATGGGTCATTATGTATGAGATAGTATAATAATATTAGAGTGATAAGATTGGAAAATTTATTTAGAGACCAGGATTGGTAGAATTACTATAAGGAATAAAAGAAGATTGTGAAATAATAGTTTTTACAGCAGGATTATAGAGTGTATTATTATATTATATATAAAGTATGCAGATTAAGCAATAAGAGAATTATAATGTGATTAGTATATAGATCATAAATTATATAGAAATCACACAACATTTAATGGAAATAATTTTATTAAAGTAATGATTATATTAATTTAATTAAGGATATAAGTAAAGTAGGAAGACCATTAGAGAGAACTATAATTATTGATAATACTCCAACTAATTATGAATTATAATAGGATAATGGACTTTTAGTTTCAACATGGATTGATTAAGAAGAAGATAGAGAATTATTTCAATTAAAAGATTTGATAATTAAATTAGCTAAGGCTAAAACTAAGGATGTGAGAAAAGCTTTGAAAAAATATAGAGATTATATTAGTGGACATAAGTGATTATAGATATTGTGATAAATTGATATATCATCAAGATCTCTTCTTTTTAAATGGGTTTTCATGAGTCATTTCAAAATAATTATCCACGAATTTAGTTATTTCGCATTGTTAATTTGCAAAATTCTTAGTTGGTTTATACACATTCTAAAATATAATCTAATATACTAATTAGTTGGCAAACCAACCTATTTCTTGATTTTATGTCATTGGGAAGTTGTATTTTTATCTAGGAATTTAATTTCTTAATTCCAGAGTCTTCTCTAATTTCTAATTTGAAAATGCTTCTTCAACTGGATCATCTGTATATGGATTTCCAAAAATGTCATTATCCTTCTCCTTTCTTGATGATTAATGTGATTAAGGTTCTTCAAATTTCATTATTATATATACTTATGTGATTAGGTTTTTCAGCCAAAATGACAACTTTGAGAATAATTATCAATATGTACCTCTATTTGGATTCAATTGGAAATGTTCTGTTCTATTCTTATCAAAGAATTTCATCTCATTCCTTATATTTTCACTAAACACTATATCCTTATTTACGACTTGGCCTGGGTCTGGCTGTTTCAGTTATCTCTTTTATGCCATTAATTTATTAAATATATCAATAAAAAGGTTAATCGTTTATTACTAAAAATCAATGCAAATTCAGCACTTATAAGATAAAACTCTTTGAATAAAATATTATTGGAATAAATTTATTTCAATTCTAAATTATCTATCCAAAATTAACCAACTTTAATCTCCTTAATATTAACAGTTTTTGATTATACTAAACAAATTAATTGATATTAATAAGATTACCGACTCAATTATAATAAATTATTGGGTTCGATTTTTAGATTTGGTTTTTGTATTTTCTGAATTAATAGATATAGAAATCATTTATATTCTATAATCTTTGTAAAGTAATTCAATTTGTTAGTATCCGTATATAGGGTGCAATTTATAATATAAAAGTCAAAGATTAGAAACTTAAAAATATTTCGAAGAGAATATAAGGACAGTCTATTAAATATAAATTTCATATAAATGATAGATTCAAGTAATTGATTTAAAATTCACCTTTTATTAAAAATGAATAAAAATGTTTACTATCGAGGTAGAAACAATCCATTTTAAGTTTGGATCTATATCTATTTATAATTTTTCAAAATTAGAATTATATCTTATCAAATAAATAATTCTATTTTGGTCATACTCTATAATTATAATTTTTATATTTATTTCGATAATGACCAATAACAATTTTGTGAATCAAATTTTTAAGGTTAAGTTATAATTAAATGGAACTTTCACAAAAATGTATCCAAAATAAATATTGCGAATCTTTAATTTTAGAAAATGATTAACTATAAGGATAAAAAGAGATCTTTATTTATTTATAAGGATTCGTTATAGAGAATTTACATATTGTGAATGATTATTTAATATTAAATGCAAAATCAATAGAGAACTCTATTTAAAAGGCTTAATTAGAGATACCATTAATTCCAAATCACCAATTTAAAACATTAATAATTGTATAATTTTTTTTATAAAAGGTCAAAATTTTTTTGAATTTAGATTTATTTTTTAAAGAAAGAGAAACAATATGAATTAATCAAAAATAAATGTATTTAGAAATAAGAAAGAAATGAAAAGAAATGTATTTTATAAAGATTTTATAATAAATTATAAGGAGAGAGTATAAAGGAAATGAGAATGTAAGTAGAAATAAAAATATCTAAAAAAGGAAAGGAAAGTAAAAAGTTTTGAAAATGCATGAATAATGTGTTAAGTTGTAATATGAAAATAATAAGAAATTGTTTAATTATTGATAACTAATCATAATTCGAATGAATCATTTCTAATTTTAGTTTTATTACTTAAATTGTCAGTTAATGGTAATATCCAATAGATGTAATCTGAACCAAAGAGTTCTTTAAAATTGTCAATAATTTTTGATTTTTGAAATGGATTATCAGTTTTCATTTCTTCAATATGAAATTCAACAGTGGTAATATTTTTGGCAATATGATAAAGATGAAATGCAAGTAATGTGCCCATAGAGAGACAAAGGAGTAAACAAGTAAAAGCACATATTTAGCATAAAAATTTAGAATTTGCTTTGAGTTGTGTATCTCCTAAAAGTTCGATAGTAATGAATATGAAACATTATGACATACATAATAATGCATAGAAAATGAATTAACAAAAGAATCTATGATTATTCATTCCAATGCAATTATTAACCCAGGGACAATGATGATCCTATAAAAAATAAATTAAAAATACCATTCTTAGAATGCATTTATTACATTCTTTACAATGATGAGTTCTAGGTTATTTTACATTTTAGCATTTAAAACAATATGAATCAAGTTAAATAGCTTGGATAATATCACTATATTAATTTGATTGAATACAATATTTCATCTTCTTCATCTATTGCTAATTCATATTTTTTCATTAATTTTTGTTTTCTTTTTTTTTAGATGATTTCTGAATGTTTTTTAGTTCTATTTTTAATTTCTTATAGAGTATGTTCTTAATAATTGTTAGCCTATATTTAATATAGATATATAAGTATTACTAAATGAGGAGAGGGATGACCAGGTGATTGAATTTAAGCTTGAATATAAGCCCAATGAATCATTAAATAAATGAGTGTAAATTCAATGACAATGAAAATTGTGGATAAACTATTCTATGATAATAATAATAATGATACATTGTTATTATATCTATATGGTAAATAATGAAATACAAATACATAATACTCACTAAAGATGATTCCATAAACAAAAATAACAGACAAGATGCCTTTGGGATTTTAAAATTTCATAAATTAATTATTAAAAAATGGACCCAAAATAAAGAAAGGATCGTTCTACATCAAGAGATAAAAAGAAAACAAATAAAAAATAAACATAATATAGTTATGGTTAATTGAAGTATGGATATATAAAAAGTATATAAGATTTGGTGAAGTACAAAGTAAATCAAAAAAAATATCATTAAAAACATTCTTTGGTAACCCAGAATTTGAGATATTCTGTTTAAGATTTGATTATGATGATCAATTAATAGCAGCAGGATGTTCAGATGGAACAGTAAAGGTTTTTAACATAGTATCTGGTAAAGTGAAAGCAGAAATATTTAAGGGAAATTGGCATTCAATTTATAAGGATCATCAGAAGGATCAAGTCCTACAACTGCAATTAGATGGAGAAGAGATGTAGCCAACAAAGCCAAAAGTGTATTTTTATCTGCTAATTCTGATGGATCTCTTATGATGTGGTAAGCTTAAACAGGAAAACAATTATTTAGAACAGTTGAATAAGGTAATCAACTTTTGGCCTTAGATATAAGGTCAGATGGTGATTAATTTGCTACTGCTGGAAAAGATTTTAAAGTAAAAATATATTCAAATATTATTAGATACGTGTTTACGATGATGAAAGGAAAGAAGTTATACACACATTTGATAAAGCTGATTAGTAAAATCAATTTATTTTATAATAGTAATTAACCAGGTCATTAAAATAGAATATTTGCACTTAAATATTTAGAAGAAACACCTAATATACTATTATCTGGTGGATGGGATGGCAATCTTCTTATATGGGATCTCAGAGATCATAAATCTATTGGAACTATCTATGGTCCTAATCTTTCTGGAGATAGTTTAGATTTTAGGTTATATATTACTATTATCCTATTTAGAAATGGCTAAATCTTAACAGGATCATATAGAACAAGTAATTAATTATAATTGTGGGATTTTGGAACAAGATAACTTATTTAGGAAATATAATGGGATAAAAATAATAACAATAATGATTTCTATGTCTATTCTTGTTAATATAGTAAAATTAATGGAGACACTATCTTGGCTGGAAGTAGTGGAAGATAAGAACTTAAGTTATTTGATATTAATAGTCAATATCAAACATGTGGCTATATTTAAGACTTACAAGAAGGTTCAATTTATTTACTCATTATATAATAGGTGTCTATTGTGTTGATTATGGAAATAAAACTAATAAATTTGCATTTGGAGGAGGAGAAGGTGTAGTCTATATCTGTTCATTGACCAATTCTAAGTGATCAATTAATAATAATATATTTAATATAATGGACCCTTAATTCTTAATTGATAATTTAAACGATATCTTACTGAGCGATTTCTATACTTATATTGAAGTCTTAGGAAGAGGAAGTTTTGGAATTGTTGTTGCAGCTTCAAGTTAATAATTAGACAAAGTGGTGGCTATCAAAGTATTGACTCATCAAACACTAGATTACTCCATACTTAGATTAAGAGAATGAGTCATCCCTATTGTAAGAATGTTCTCATCCAAATATAGTAAAATTATACAAGGTTAGTATTATTACTTATGTGCTTTCAGGTTCTAGTAGCAAATAATTTTATCTACCTAATTATGGAAAAATTGACAGGAACTACACTAGATGTAATTTTAAAAGAGCAAATACTTGATGAACTTAAAATAAGAAATGTTATGTTATAAGTATTAAATGCGTTAGCCTTTTTACATCGTAAAGGAATCATACATCGAGATTTAAAGCCTGGTAATATTGAATAATTAAAATAAGAGAACATTTTTATTTCAAATGGGAATCATGTTAAATTAATTGACTTAGGGTTAGGATACTAAATAGTTTGTAGAGGAGTAATAGGATAATAGGTGGGGACTCCGTATTATATTGCACCAGAATTGATTAATGGTTGCGAATAAACTCAAGTATTAAATGGAAATATAAGTAAAGGCATTGGATATCTTTTCTTTGGGGATTATATTTTATTAGATGATGTGTAATAACAAACATCCAATTTGGATAGATGGATAAACTAAGAAGGACTATTACAAAACTTTATCTAGTGAATTTTAAATAAAATATCCTCCCTAACTTTCTGAGTATAAATGATTGATATATAAAAGAATGGCTCAGGATTTCCTTAAAAACACTCTTACACATAGTCCAATTGATAGGATGTCAGCTGAATAATGTTTAGAGCATCCATGGTTATTAGGTGAGGAAAGGAAGTCTCATCCAATAACCAATAAAGAAATTATACAAAGATATAATTTTATATAAAAATTTTAATTAGTATTTTTAATTGATTAACATATTAGATAGTGAAAGCATTGTAAATGACTAAGATATTTAAATAATAATGTCATGAAGAAATGTATTATTTAAAATCTTAAAACTCTGATGAAATTAATGAGATTTATCTTAATGATTCTGCTCCTAAAACTTAAAGAGTTTATACAGATACGCATATTAATTTGCGTCCTTAGAAAACATACTATAAACCTTAAAGTTTGAAGACTATTTAATTAACAAAAGTGACATCCTCATAAGATTTGTTATCTACTAATAATAAATTGATTAATTCTAATAGATGTTATAGTAAGCAATAATTACATATATATAATTTTAGATTATCCATCTAGATATAAAACTTCATTAGATATACAATTACCAAAAGTAAGTAGTTAGAAAAGAATTCATTTATAATTACCTTCAATCTCTCCTTATTAAACTAGATAATCTAGCTTCATTTTTAGACAATCATGATTTCTTTTTTTGTATATAAATTTAACATATTTTTATTATTAAATATGGATAATTAATTTTATAATTAAGACTAATTAGCATTTGGTTAAGTTCAACCAATATCTGATTTATAGCCATCAAAAGCAATTAAATTTGAGAATGTATTTAAAAGTATTTTAAATATTATAGGTACCTTAAAAATAAAATAAATAACAATCTAATGTAAAATTTAAAGAAGCTTCAAAAATGGTAAAATAATAAAAAATAGATTCTGTATAAAAGATTCGTCCATCAAGTGCATAAAAACCAGAAAAGTTTAAACCTTCTTGGAATGATAAAGTTGAATCTAAACCAAAGACATTTGATAATTTGAAGAAGAATGAAATATTCAAAATTGAAACTAAATTGTAAAAAGAAAAGATTGAGAGAGAAAAAGATAATAAAAGAAGATAATTAGAAAATCCACCTGCTGCTGCAATTAAATCTTATGCAACAATAAAAGATATTGAATAAGCAATTAATGATTGTAATTATTGTTATTTGAATTAGAGTAATATAAAAAAGATGTTTCTGATATGAAAAAATAAAAGAGAGAATTAGAATAATTGTAATGGATGATAGATTAAGAAAATAAATTAAAGGCTGAATAAAATAAATAATTTGAAGAGAAATTAAGATAGTTAAAAACACAATAACATCCTGATTTAGCTTAAGATATTATGAATGCTAAGAAAAAGGGAATGTAAAATAAAGAATCTCCATATAAAACAAAGGAATAAAAGAAATAAGATAAAAAAAAGGAGATATAAAAAAATGTTGATGATATCTATATTGAACCTTAATAAAATAAATATCCAATTTGGAAAGATGGAATAAATTTAATTCATTATGAATCTAAAAAGCCTTTATTACCTGGAGAATATGATTAAAATGATTTAGATTTAGTACCTTAAAAGTAATCAGCTTAACAATAACTATAATAAGTAAGGATAGATGATAATAAATTAAAAAATGAATTAGTGGAAATATAAAAAAGAGAATTACAAAGATAACATGAATTAGATGCATTAATAGATAAACATTAACAATTATTAAGATCTGAATCTTAGAATCCAAATAAATATTATAAAGAGATAAATGAAAAACTGGATAAAATTAAAGGGAAAGTAGATCCTTTAGTAAAGAAAATTGATAATATGTAAATAGAATATCCATTTACAGGACATTTATTAGCAAGAGGTGTATCTAAAATGATATAGTTACATTCTGAAAGATTAAGTGAATTATTAATAGATGATTTATTATTTGAAATGGTAGATATTTTGGATAGTTTGGAAATGAAAAAGAAAGAAGAAGAGAGATAAAGATATGAATAAATGGCTTTATGTGATTATATAGAGGCTATCAAAGATATAGCATTAGATTAAGACAAAGTTGAATAGAATTTCTAATAAACAAGATAGTAATTTATGAGAGATAGTATTTATTAATTTTTATATCTATAAATAGCAAGACTTGATTAATATGTACCTGTTGAATAATTGGGAAGAGATTAATAGTTTTATGTAAATCCTATGGACCGTTTAAGATCTATAGAATTGTCAAGTGGATTTATCATTAAGATTATGGAAGATAGGAAAAAAAGAATTTAGTATATTACTTAAGATAAATAGTATTATCCTAAGAATCTAGAGTAATTTGATCTAGTATTATTATTATTTAATTAGATAAGATAACTGAAACTATACTTGAAGAGATGATTTGGGAACGAGCAGCTGCATTATATTAAAGTAGTGATGAAATGGCAGAATAAATATTTATTAATGAATTCAAATGATTTTTCTTATTATTTGTTAATTTAATATAATAAATTTAATAACACAATTAAATGAGGATAAATACTTTTGTTATTTAGAGTTTTTCTAAATTTCTATAATCTAAAGACAAAACTTATTATAAATATGGTCTTGTAGATTGTTAACTAAATGGTGTTACTTTTCAATTTAAAACTCCATAATTTAATGAAATTGCCAAATCATATTATTAAGCATTTTAAAATATGCATAATGAAGAATATTAAAAATTAAATCAAGAATTAATCTAATATATCAATCCTGTATTTATTTAGGATGTATCACAAATTATGAATCATTTTAATATTTTAGATTTGTAGGCATGGTAAAATCTGGTTGTACAAATATCAAATAACATTGAAACTATTACCTTAACTGAAATTAATATAACACTTAAACAATTATTAATGTTTTTGAATAAGAAGTTCCGTATGGTTGAAACTCCCTTTCAAAAATATCATTATAGTGAATATGATTTAACACTAGTGTTGAATGAGTAATAATTATTTACTATTCTTAATCAAATGAAATTTAATCCAACTGATATTAATGTTTATATTGAGTCCTTTACTTCACTAATTAATATATTTTTTAAATTTAGTAGAGTATAACCTATATCATTCTTTGATGTCTATGAAATTGTGAGAAATAAATTGTAAATTGTATTAGATAATCATCTAAATTAATTAAATCTTAGTAATTTAATTACATTGTATTAAAGTTTCGGATCAGAATCACAGATCATTGAATAAATTATTCAAAGACTAGGAGAATAACAAATTAATATCACTCATTAGGAACTAGATAGAATTCTAGAAATATGGAAAGCTAAAGGATTTATTGATTAAAATTTATTTCAAATTTTAAAATCGGAGATTATTTATTAAGTTTAATTTAATCAATAATATTATTAAAATAAGGTTTTTTAAAGAATATTTGCTTTGATTTATGCAAATATTAAAGATAAAGATATCTTAAATATAATTTAAGCAAAACTATTAGCTTCAACTGATTTGCTTCAAACTAAGAATATTTCATTCCAAAATGTATTATTTTATATATTATCTAAGGGTTACTTAACTTGTATTAAAATTCTAAAACTACGTAATCCTGAATTAAAATTACCTGAAATTTAAATGAAACCTAAGATTGTAAGTAAAAAGATGTAGAAATCCTTATAAGAAAATATATTAATCAATTTTACCAAATAATATATTGAAAAATTAGACGAAAATGTTTAGATTAAAATAGATGCTCAGTGTTGGATATATTTGATAGATATAGCATTAATTTTTTAAGATTCTAAAATAGCTTTTGAATTATCAGGTTCAGTTTATTTTAGAGATAAAACTCTGACTGGGAAAAAATTAGCCAAAAAAGAAATTATGATTTCTGAAGGTTGGAAACCTATTTTCCTTGGCAATTAAGAAAAGATTTTGTTCAACACTTTCAGTTTCAATTAACAACAATTACCAGAATAAATAGAGAATTTATTTGATAACTTATTTTAAGAAGCATTAGGAAGAAAACTATAAAAAAAATAAAAATGAGTATAAATATATTTATTATATAATATTATTGATTTTATATATTTCATTTATTTTCTTATCTTTATATAGACTTATATTGTTTATGAATAACAATTTAATTCTTTTGTTATTTGTTGGTATTTTGTTATTCATAAATCTTTTCTTCGTCTTAATTGATTGCAATCTAATCATAATCTTATTGGAAATCATTGTTTTTTACAACATCATCATTTTCTTGATTCTCATTTTAGATTTAATTATCCTTTCTGATTTGATTTACACACAATCTATCACTACTTTCTCTTACTTATGATTATAATCTTTCTTTTTAATTTTTATCAGTGTCTAATTTTTAATTGTTTTCGTTAAAATCTTAAACTTTGCTAGTTTATCTATATTGACAAATACATTTATAACAACAGATCCAAGTGATAATTAAAATTAAACTTACTACAATTAATATGTAGAAAATAATAGGATTAGATAGAGGATTTTCATTTAAAATATCTTAAATAAAATAGCATTAACTATCTTTAAGATAATAGCCATCTATACATGAACTGCAAATATTTGGAGTTGTACAAATACATTCTTATGGACAGTAAGGATCACATAATTGAGTTTTTTAATTTCTTTGATAATCATTAGGACATTCTACTTGCATACAAGAATTATTTGAAGTTAATTGATAACCATTCATACAAGATTAACAAACAAGAGGAACTTCACATTAATTACAATATAGTCCACAATCTTTAATACATTTATTATCTTAAGATAAATAATATCCATAAGAACATCTATAACAATTCAAAGGAGATTAACATATATTACATTCTTAACCACATAATGCAGCAGTAGTGATAAAATATTCTTATCCTTATTTATTATAATATTTGATTTGTATACTATCTCCTAAAGTGGATCCATCAACATCTATACCTGTTGATATAAATGTAATAGCAAATTATTCATCATTAATTATTTAAATGCTAGGATTTTATGGAGATTTTCCTGATAAAGCTACATTTATAATTGAACTTGAAGGAATACCTAAAGAATCAAATATTTAGAATTATATTCCAATTGATTAATAGTGAGAATCCGTTGTTTTCCATGCTACTAAAAATCCATCATTAAATGATTTTATATCTGGTGTTTATTATTATATTTATGATGTACCTATTCCTTTAACTTCACTTTTTTATTATAAATCTTTAGAAATTAATTAGTAATTTAGATTAAATAGAGCTTTAAAAGTTTGAATGTCTTTATTTTCCCATAAAAATACAATCATATTATTTTTCAAAATCGTTGTTTTCATTGTAAACATTCCATCATCACTTATAGCTTTTGGTTGATTAATTGGATTTCCTAATTATGTAATTTATTAAACAAATACATAACCATCACTTGTATAACTTATATATATTGTTCCTGAATCATCTTCTATAATTGATGGAGCTGTTAAATAACCTACATTTGGTATTTCTTAACTTTAACTGATACTGTTTAAATTACGATCAAATACTTAGTAATTTATTGAATAATTAGATTCATCTACTGAATTTTAACTCATATGATAAACAAAAATATTTTGACTTTATAAAGTCAATAATTAACAAGGTTAAGAAATTGTTGGTAAAACATTATTATTAGAATAGCCTAAAGATTAGGCAGGAGCTACTTCAGATCCATTTTAATTAAACCCTTATAAAAGGAAATTTGTTTAATCTGAAGTAGAATCAGCCCAAATAATATAAAAATTGTTATTAATTGCTCCTAAATTTGCATAATATTATTTTTAAATTGAAGATTCTATTAATCTTCTTCTAGTTAAATCTGAAACCAGAATTTCATTTCCTATTTTATTATTATCAATTGTGTATAATTAGAAATAAACACCTGCTTATTCACCATTCTAATACCATACTAAAACATAACTTCCATCTTCAAAATTGTATCTATATGGAGTACTAACTATTGTATTTTTGATTTGATCAATAATAGTTGGATCTTCAAATTTGCATTTTTAATCTTGTGTTAAAATAAAACCTTAAGGACAACTTGTACAAATATATGGTAAAGCACATGTTCTGCATGTTGATTGACATTCTGGTAAACATTCTTATTGAATCTAATAATAATTCATTTGACATTTATCACACATTAACACATCCTAATTCTTTGAACATTAATCACAATTATTTGGGCAAGTTAATTTTTAACATTCATTATTTACTAACTCATATCCATATTAACAAATCTCACATTATGATACAACTGAACATTTAATGCAGTTTTATGGACATTATAAAATACATTATAAGTTAGAATCTAATATATAATTTGCACTACATATAGTACAATAGTTTTAATTTACACATTAATCACAGTTTATTATACAATCAATATTCTGACCATTTGTAATATCATTTCCTTAGTCATCGTATTCTTTATAAAACACCTTTTCTTATTAATACCAATATACTCTTAATCGATATTAGTGTACAATGAACTTTTAGTAATATATATCATTAAAGAAACCAATATATATTGGTGAACCTAATTTTGCTCCAGAATTATAATAGTATTAAATCATGAGTTAATTCATATTATTGTAATAGTTAGATTATTTTATTATTATTGCAAAAGTATCTTAAAATTATACAAATTCTTTAAATTCTTATCTGAGAAATTCATTTTATATAACTTTAATTTCTTGTGTTATAGGAATGTATTAATCATTTAATATTCTGTAATAAACTGAACAGCCTAAAGTAAAAAACTGAACATCTGCATAAAGCATTTAATTATAACTTAAAAAAATTTGTACATAATTACCATTACTTAATAAAAATATGTTACATGAAAAGAACTTTTTAGAGTCAGAATATAGGCATGGTTTCCAAATCATTTTCTCTTCTATAAAAAGAGCAGTACCATTTTTTGCACTAAATTTTAGATAATCTCCCTCTCTTTCATTTGCAAATAATTCATCTTCTGATTAGAACAAAAGCCTAGCCTATCCAATTGGATTCAATTCAGAATCCAAAATAACATTATATATTGATAACTACGTTTATTCCTAATTTGTTCTATTATAATAAGTTAAAGAGTATTGATTATTTATCAATGGTTTTAAAACATAACATTATGGACAAAATGAATTCAAAATGAATTAAGTCAAATTGATTACTTTTTGAATGATTATTTATCCATCTTCTCTAATTCTTACAACTTCTATTCTCTCATATTATTGCAATACAATTATGTAATCTTATTCAATATTGTAGATATAAGCAGGCTCAAAATAGTAAAAATTTTCAAGCCTTTATATTGTCATTTTCATCTATATTTATTATTCTTTAATTAAATAAAAATCCATATAATATAAATTTTCTTATATCGATTAATAGATGGAAATAAGACTAACACTACCATCATTAAATGTAATAATGGTAACGCCAAAGAGTTATCCTAAAATATTTTAATTAATCAATGGTTAAGGTTCATGGTAACTTGGCAATATTGGAGTGCATTAACCTTCGATTTCCTGATAGTATCCTTATTTACATTAATCACAAATTTGAGAAATAAAACAGGATAGACAATTAGGTTAACAGACGACCTAACAATTTCCTTCCACCAATTAATAATTTTCAATGCATTATGCACATATATAATTACTGGTGCAACTCATGCAGTTTTAATAACACAATACTGTGCTTTCTGTTATATATTCTCCTTATGCATTAATTTTTTAAATATAAATATTTGATGTATCAAAGTTACCAAACAAATATTTTGTCCAAATTCCAAAAAATGAATCGTCAACTGATTCAACAATTCTTAGATTTTAAGAAAAACCAAAAAGCCAATTGTTTTAAATATGATAAGTGTTTATTAAATAGAATTCCCAATTTTTGTTAACATAATAATGTTCTTATACAGATTGTCTATCATTTATAATATAGTCTATTATCATCGAAATCCCATACTTATATTAATCCATCTAAATACACTAAATTTTTATGGAAAACTTATTATTCATCTGCAAGTTTTCTAATATTTTTATCTGATTTCCATAAACAATGAAATTTTAATCATAAAATTGTATTTTTGTAGAAAAGATATCTTCTTCATAATATGCACTAGCTAAGGCAAAATATTAAGCGGTACTACCTAAATAAAGTTACTAGAAATCAGGTTAGTTATTAAATTGGGTTAGTTCTTGGATTGCTATCTGATTTCCATCTAGAGTATAAATATTGACTTATCTTAACCTATTTATATCTATATATATTGTTGCTATATTTAAGTCTGCGCTTGTTATTTATATATTTTATTAAAATTAGCCATTTATTTATTATTCATTTATTAAAGAACCAGCAGAATTGTAAAATTTCAATTTCATTAATTGTTAAAATTCATCAATGTTTGTAATATATGCAATCAAATATCCACCATTCTTTAAACTTATTACTTTAGCTATGCAATCATAGTTCAAATGATAATTAGGGTATAGAAGAGTATCAATAACTTATTCATTTCCTATTCTTTATTATTCTTTAGTGAATCTTGCAATCATAATTTATGCTCCCTCTTCAGGATCACCATTAAGGAATAAAACTATAGCAGTATTATCTTATAATATTGCAATATATGGTGAATGTTAGCTTCCTTAAGTATCTTAGCTTATTCTAAAGTTTTATCCTATTTTCTGTCTCTGTTCATTAATTATCTATCCATAAATACCCCAATTACTTCCATCTTGAAAATTGCTATTCCAAATAACCAAAATGGAACCATCGCTAAATACAGCAGATGATGGTTTCGTTTATCCAAAATAAGTAAATTCATTGACAACTAATGAATTTTTCTAAAATTCATCCAATATGCACTTTTTACCACTAGGAATATAATTTTCAGCACATTCATTACAATTATCACCATCACATGATAAACAAGTAGAACTACAACCAATCTTACAAAACATTCCTTTTAAATTTGCATCATAATACATTTAAAACTCATTTTCGCATTTTGTACATTCTTGAATATTTATGCAATCAAAACAATTAGGAGAGCAAATCTTATTTAGAGACTTAACAAATTCTCCAGCATCATTAAGTGTTGATAATTATAATCCCCATTATGCTAAATTATCTTTTATAGCCCATAAAAATCCTACAAAATTATTAGAAATCCTAGCTAGCATTGGACTAGTAATTGATGATTCTATTTAAATAGTTTCTTTCATAATTGTTGATCCAAATTAATTCACTAAACAATAAGAAAGTTAATTTTATAATTTATTGTTCCAAGATACAATAAATGTATTATAAAATATAGCAATTTAAACATCCTCAACTCCATATAAATATAAATATACATTATTTTATTAAAAGCAATTAAAAGGATAAGCACAGAACCTAATACCCCATTCCTTTACAGCAAACTATTAATACATGAAGACAATATAGTTATTTGTAATTTCAAATTTGATTTCTGAAATATTCGATATCTCTAAAATAAAAGATGATAATTCAATTCCATTTATATTTAGTTAAATTAAATTTGCATTATTTTAATTGATATTTACTAAATAGATTGTATTATCTAAAACTTTGAATCCTTTGATAATGCTTTTATCACAATTTTCAATTGTTAAAAATTCAAGATAATTAATATCTTATTTTTCTAGGATTTTTACATTTGATGTATCATATATAAATAATGATTAAGAATGCCCAATTAAAGATCCAGTATCAAAAATAAAGTTTTTCAAACTTGTAATTAAAAGAGCATAATTCATTAATAAACCCTCCATCTTAATATCTAAAATTTCTTAATCATTTATATAATCTTGTTAAAGTATCATAGTGTTCGTTATTTAATGTAATTTAAATATTTTAATGACTCTTTTATCTGAATTATACACCATACTTAAATAAATTTCATCTTATATTACAGTTGCATCAAATAAATGAATTAATTCAAGGTTAATTTCATTAAAGTGGATCTCTAAGCCTTCTTTATCGAATTTTCTTATTCTAAATATATTCTAACAGATATATAAAATAGCATAATTGTTATTAGAGAATTTAATAAGTTTCTTCGTCATTTCTTCAGTACATTTATCCACAATCTCAATGCCTTTTCCATCTTTAATAGGATCATTAAAGATTATTTGAGGTACTGATGGATCTGGTAAGTCATTTTCTCTATCAAATGTTTTCCATACTAATTTATTAGAACATCCCTAATCATCACATTCTTATTTCTACCAAAANATTAATTCTAATTGATTTAGCTTTAATTTCATCCAAATTACATTAAGAATTTAACAAATAATAATTTTCCTTGCAAGAAAAACATCTTCTCATTTAATCACAAAGAATACAATTTTAATCACAATCTTTTTCGCACAAGCTTTCATTTTAATTAATTTATATTAAATGATATCCAATCTCACAAGTTGTACATAATTAATTTATGCAATCAAAACAATTAGGAGAGCAAATCTTATTTAGAGACTTAACAAATTCTCCAGCATCATTAAGTGTTGATAATTATAATCCCCATTATGCTAAATTATCTTTTATAGCCCATAAAAATCCTACAAAATTATTAGAAATCCTAGCTAGCATTGGACTAGTAATTGATGATTCTATTTAAATAGTTTCTTTCATAATTGTTGATCCAAATTAATTCACTAAACAATAAGAAAGTTAATTTTATAATTTATTGTTCCAAGATACAATAAATGTATTATAAAATATAGCAATTTAAACATCCTCAACTCCATATAAATATAAATATACATTATTTTATTAAAAGCAATTAAAAGGATAAGCACAGAACCTAATACCCCATTCCTTTACAGCAAACTATTAATACATGAAGACAATATAGTTATTTGTAATTTCAAATTTGATTTCTGAAATATTCGATATCTCTAAAATAAAAGATGATAATTCAATTCCATTTATATTTAGTTAAATTAAATTTGCATTATTTTAATTGATATTTACTAAATAGATTGTATTATCTAAAACTTTGAATCCTTTGATAATGCTTTTATCACAATTTTCAATTGTTAAAAATTCAAGATAATTAATATCTTATTTTTCTAGGATTTTTACATTTGATGTATCATATATAAATAATGATTAAGAATGCCCAATTAAAGATCCAGTATCAAAAATAAAGTTTTTCAAACTTGTAATTAAAAGAGCATAATTCATTAATAAACCCTCCATCTTAATATCTAAAATTTCTTAATCATTTATATAATCTTGTTAAAGTATCATAGTGTTCGTTATTTAATGTAATTTAAATATTTTAATGACTCTTTTATCTGAATTATACACCATACTTAAATAAATTTCATCTTATATTACAGTTGCATCAAATAAATGAATTAATTCAAGGTTAATTTCATTAAAGTGGATCTCTAAGCCTTCTTTATCGAATTTTCTTATTCTAAATATATTCTAACAGATATATAAAATAGCATAATTGTTATTAGAGAATTTAATAAGTTTCTTCGTCATTTCTTCAGTACATTTATCCACAATCTCAATGCCTTTTCCATCTTTAATAGGATCATTAAAGATTATTTGAGGTACTGATGGATCTGGTAAGTCATTTTCTCTATCAAATGTTTTCCATACTAATTTATTAGAACATCCCTAATCATCACATTCTTATTTCTACCAAAATATCTTGAACCCATTTTGATATTAGATAATTTCCATAAAAGTATTTGCATCATAAGTTAAAATATATATAGAATCACCTATTTTGTTGCCTGTATTGTAAATATATTGAACTACCAATTATCTTACATTTGAATTAAGTGGATTAAATTAAAAATCGTAATTTTGTTATTCTATAAAAATTGCAAAAGAATTCATATATGTAAACAATTTAATGAATCTTTATCGACTAAACCCTTATTTCAAAACCTTGGTTAATTAATAGTATTATTCAATTTTCATTTCCTATATTTGATAAAAAATATAATTCTAGCTCTTTCCATCAAAGAATAAAGATTAAACTTCATAAATTTCAATTTTTTTTTCATTTTTAAGTTGAGCTACATGGGATGCAACCTTGTTATAGAGATAAGAATAAGCCCTATTGAACCCAATAATTTGATCTCTTATTATATTGTAGATCCTGCCATCTAAAAGGTAAATTCTAAATTAAGATTTCGCTATTTATTCAACTGGACCGAATTCAAATTAGAAGAAAACTGTTTGTATATTTCCTATTTCATTAAATGAAGAATCAAGTATTACGTTGTAAAAATAAATAGATTGTTTTGCCAAATCATTAATGGTATAAAAGGTAAGAGAATATTGATAATTTAATAAGGGTTCTAATATTAAATCTCTTGGTTTGATTTAATCCTAATCATATTTTTGTATCGAAAGTGATCTTTAGAAATGAAGAATACCATCTAAATTATATCTATTAACTACAATTTCTTATTAACAATACTACACTATAATTGTATCATCATCTACAAAAAATACTTAAAGCTTAATAAAGTTGATTAGTTCTCCTTAGTTTAGTTCTATAGTTTATATTTTCATTTATGCATCGATGATTCTAAATCTATAATTTGGAGAGGCGTATGAATAAGTAACAATATATGAATTACTTGAAAAAATTAACTCTTGAAATTATTCATTCTCTTAAAAAGTTAGAAGAATTTAAGTTTGCTAATAGTTTGGAGGTTCTTCAAAGCATGTTCCTTCTTACTTTAAATAATATCCTTTTTGGCATTCATCACAATATAGAGCAATATTTGTCATCTTGCAATTGCTTTAATTGATTGGTTTGCATAGATCATTCGATAAATAATAATTTTCACTAAAACATTAATCACATTTATTTTCATTTTAACATTGCAAGCATCCCTATGGACAAACTATTTATTTTTAAGCTAATATAACTCCTTAAGATGAAAAAAGTTGGAAATATAGATTTCCATTTTTTCCCCAAATTATGAAGTAATTCTAATTCTCGGATTCAATTAAATCTATCAATCTATAGTGATAAGGGTGGTATCTTTGAAGTTCAAAATAGTAAGAATTAACAAAAAATATTTATTCATTTTTTATCTAATAGAACTCTTAAATTAAATGACTCTCAACTTAGATTAATAATTCACCATTATATTAATATAGTTGCAGAAAAGTTACCCATTTATTTTAAATTTGTATCTCTAAAGGATTTCCCTTATTATTCAATTACAGATCATATAATTAAGTACATATAAGATATTGCTGATCTTCATAAATGGAATATAATATTGCATAATAGTTGGCTGAGCTACTGAATGAATAACTATGTTCAAAGTGAGAGGGATGAAAATAAAAGTAATCCAAAAATCTGCTTAATATAAATTCTCCAGTCAATGAATATAAATTAATATAAATTTGCTGGTGAATATTTTTATAATTTAGAGCTACATTATAATCAGTCGCTGCAATATTTAGGTAATCAAAATGGTTAGAATCAAATGATGCCTCATATGATTATTCAATTAAAAAGTTGCCCATTGAATCATAGAATTTTAGATGAATGAATTTTTAATTTGTATTTAAGAGTTAATTTACATATCCAATAACAAATCCTCCATTACTTAAATTTAATACTTTACATATATGATTATTATTTAAGCTTTCAATATTATAATTAATTAAAGTAACGACAAATTCATCTCCTATTCTTAACATTTATTTATCAAATTTTTAAGCTTTCAAAATTGCATCGCCATCAATAGGATCTCCATCAATGTAAATTATTATAACTGTGTCATCCTTCAATACAGCTGCATAAGGAGAATGTTAAGGTCCTTGAGAATTCAAACTAATTTTGATATTATCTCCAATTTAAACACCAGCATTATCAATTACTTAAGCATAAACTCCCCAACTACTTCCATCTTAATAATTACTTGACCAAACAACTATTATAGATCCATCACTAAAACTAGCTCCTTATTATTATGTTTAACTTTATAGTGTGTATTTATTAATTCTAATTGATTTAGCTTTAATTTCATCCAAATTACATTAAGAATTTAACAAATAATAATTTTCCTTGCAAGAAAAACATCTTCTCATTTAATCACAAAGAATACAATTTTAATCACAATCTTTTTCGCACAAGCTTTCATTTTAATTAATTTATATTAAATGATATCCAATCTCACAAGTTGTACATAATTAATT